TCCTTCAGTGCACTCAAAACTCAGGGAATGAATGGTAATCAGACAGTGTCTATGATCTTGAGTTCCTCAGTATATTGAAGACGATATGGGATTACCTGGGTAGCCAAAAATGAGCTAACTTCAGTAGATGAGAATGTACCGACCATATCTCGATTTTTCAGTGGGTTCTAGAAAGCAACAATACTAATAACTTCAGAAGTACACCATACCTCTTGATCCGGAGATAGTCAGGTGTTCAGGTGAACATTTAAAATTAAGGCAGCAAATGTTATCATTTCAGAATTCAAAGCAGACGCTGTTGGCAATAGACCACTGAGAACTAACAAAACTAGCAACACCACCACCTTACTTTTCCCCTCGAACTGCGTTGGTCTTGTCTTGCGTGGTGAAACCATTTTAGGAGATTAAATTGTGATCACATGGATTGTGGAGCCAAGTTTCTTGAAGCGTTACTACACCTGTATAACGATAAATATTCGAACCTAACAGAGCATCCAAATAATTATTCTTGTTAGATACCGACCTGCAATATGTGCTCGTCATAACAGAAACGGTCATTTGTTGCATTGGAGTACACTTCAAGGCTCGTTGCCACCCATCATCATATTTTCTCATGAGCTTATCAGATACAAGTAAATCAGCGGGCCGGAAACATTTTAAACAGTCGCGAAAGATTTGGGCGCATGATTCAATAATCGGAACAAAATAAATCCGAATAATCAGGTGTATTAGAAATGATGGAGAATTTCGGTGACCCAAGGTTTAGGCAGGCGGCCACAACATGATTCATCTATTAGGATGGTCAGGTAGTGTGACACTGATATGTATCCATATATATATATATATATATATATATATATATATATATATATATGGTGGTCTCTCTTTCCGTTGCTTTCTTAGTCTGTGACCATTTCACTTTGATGAACCTGTCTCCTTTAACAATGTATATTCCCCTTATATTATATATAATATGTGTGTTTGCTGACAGTCTGTTATATTTCGCTACGTATATATAGATCGATACTCCATTATAATTAGCCAATCATGTTAAGACTGTCTATTGATTTGTTCACACACTTTTGGACATTCAGATATATTTTGCTCTCACACTATTCTGTGATACATATATTGATTCTCCTTGTGTTTGGAAAATAGAAGTATCATCGAAAACCTAGTGGTCTTCTGATTTCCGTCTTTCTTGCGTCAGGACTATTAAATTCTTGACCAGTACATAACGATAATTTGGCGACGAGTACATAACAGACACTCACACACATTGCAGCTATTTTCTACTAAGAGGAATGTGAGCCAAAAGAATTTTGAAACCGGGGATTTAGGAGGTTGCAGTGATACATGCAGACTCCGAATGTTTTGAGCCACACATGGAGATGTAGATTGTCTAGGTGACTTTCTAGGAATACTGACAATCAATTATTAAACATGTCCATCGATCTACCTACTCATACATTATCCATTTGAACTGTTTAGGTAATAGAACTATTGGAACTATAACGCCTAGTTTAATACCTCGAGTTTGGCTATCCTGTGCATGCATCATACAGTCTTTACCCGATTAAACTCTTCTCTGACATACCGTCCATCACCTTAATAAGTCTCTTCGTCTTTTACTCCTCTATAAGTGAGTTCATTGTAATTATTTCTACGAAAGTCGCTTTAGAAACCGGTTGAAAATGACCACCTCAAGTCAATAGATTTTATTGTGCTCTTCTAAAACGCATGATTTTAAAATCCGCTTCATTATAAATGTGGGCGCGTTACTCCACGGTGCTGTCAACACAAACTGACTTGTTGACACAATGCTTATTTCTGCTGGAGGCTCGGATGATCTGGATCACTTCCTAACCATTGCAGGATGCAGCTGCCCACTGCATCTAACATGCATGATTCGACAACCCATTTTCACGGACATTAAGTAGACACTGTTTGACCTAATTTATGTGCATGTCGGTATAGTCGTTGTCTGCCAGAGTGGATTGACTTAGATTCAGCTTGTCTCAGTCTCACACATCTCAGGCTCAGCAAATACTGCTAGTTTACTCGTAGCCACCTGCTGAGGACGGCTTCTATATTCATCCTCAAAACGTTAGATGAGCGTGGCTTACAGTGCGGCATGATAAGAATCCAGACTTATGCCCCAGAATGGGCTACGGTGGTGTATGCATCAAGGCTATCAGAAACAATTAACAGTGTGATTGATCTGAGTAGAGGCTTGATTAGGAGATGGAAGGCGCCAGGTAACGCTCCACTGATGACCGTGCTTGACAGCGGTGTTTGGAAGAAATGGGGGTTGACCCATATAAAGGTGCACCTGATGGTTTCCACTGTCCTACTCGTGAACACATAAACTCTGCTGACAATTAAAATTACCCTGAGCCTAGATGCCCAACTTCCGCATCTAAGTACTCACCTAGCCTTATGATATCTTTTCGAGACATCTACTTCAAAAGTCCACTTATTTGATTTCGAAACTTCCTTATTCTCATTTGGACCGCAAGTTATCGACTCACAAGCAGACATGACAAACAGACACCTCTCCTCTGGTCGACTGCCTTTACGCTGATTTAACCTAGCCTCACAGAAAGTAAACTACTATTGATTGGGATCCAATGCAACAACGGAGCTTCGGATCTAGTTCTTAGAACTACACTGACACAAATTAACAGTATCCTGGCGCAGGAGGAGCACTCGATAAGTGCAGGTGATGCGCCTTTAGAGGTTGACGGCATAGACGTTCGCGAACAGTACAAAAGTTTATTGATGCAATCTCTTGTACATCAACTTCTAACTTATTAATTCTCGCGTACCAAAAGCAAAGCAAAAGACAGTATTTGATCGTCCAGATTACGTGATATATTTCAGGACCAAAAGGAGTTGTTAGACGAACATTTAGCTGACTAGTGATGGTGCCGCACGTGACACGACAGAGTACCAACTGGCGGGTATGCTTCACGGAAAGCCTTCAGCTAAACAAGTCAACTTAAACAGTGGTGGTCAGCATCCAATGTTGAGTGATGATTGCTGTGGTCAATAATTTCGGGGAATTATTTACCGCTACATGCCTATTTGAAACTGCAGATGAAAACGAAGCATATATTGGGATGTTGAATGCTGGTGTCTGAAGTGCAGCGTACATCAATAGAGAGGCCTTTCAGTATCCTGGCTAGGCGCACTATTCGTCCAACTTGCATCATTGTGCGAACACTGTACGTGGACATTTAGAACGAAACATACAGTTTCGTGACGCTCTATCAGGTAACGATTTGAAGGCAACCAAGTAGCAACCAAGTGCTCAGAAATAAAACAAGGAGATTTACACAGAAAGAGTATCAGGAAGGTTAAAGTTGCAGTAAATACGATTAAGGGAAGGAAAATGTATAGTTTGGTGTTGACTGTTGTTTCACGATCTTTGCGAGGGCTTAGCTGCACCCATGATTGCGACTGACTTATAATAGTTCCCTTGCATCTTTTCGGATTGTGCAGCCCATGTTCAGCCGTAATCTGGTATCAGGGTTTTCCAGCTCCCTTAATTAGGCGGACAGGCATGCCCACCAGTAGTCTCGTTGTCAGTACCAGATGTTTTCATTCTCCTTTTTTGTTTCTGTGGGAACAACTCCTAATTAAATAAACTGAATAGAGGGCGTCAATTACGGTTTTTGCATTTCATCAAGTAATTGCTTTATTTGATTCTGTGTTACGCGTCTAAAAGAATACTGTAATCATATGAAATGCTAAGTTTGGGTGTTCTGCAGCTACTTTGTTGATATATTTTACATAGCTAAAATATATCTTCAAGCGTTTGCTGTACGATGCGTGAAAACACTTCGTGGTTACTTTTATCCTCAGCCATTTTCAGAAGTTTAGCTATTCGAATCACTACCCTTTTGTGAGAGTTTCAGGGTTGACAAGTCGATCAGTCGGTTGCCTGGTGTCAAACTTTGGTATTTGCATTCGTCTAATCCCTTCTTGAACTATACGGTTGGCGGTGCGTTTACCATTTCTAGGAGTCATTTCCGATTCTACTCTCTGGTCATATAATTCTTTCTTGACTTTTGCACCATTCTGATATGCCGTCTGAGAAGTTCTAACTTTGAGGAAAGGAAAGGCGTAGACAAAGCAGCTGAATAGGCACTTCTTAGAATTTCGAAAATCCCTTTGTCTATGGCACTCTAAGGAGAAAGCTTTCAGATGTCGTTTCTTTCCTTGTATGATACGCTGGTCATACAAACAATCATATGTAGACGGCTTACAGTGAACTCTTTCTAGAACCTACAGATCCTCTTCAGGAGAGGGCTGGTTGCCTTGATACACTTTTTTAATTTTGAAAGTCTCACTTGTGATTCCAATAAGGTCTCCATAAAGCTTTACGGGTATGAGCTGCCATTATCTGACAGTGTGCTGTACGCTTGAGCCCATGGTTTGGTATAAATACGTCTATTCCATAGAACAGATGTGTGAAATGTAAGGAGAAACAGTTACGAAATCATCAATTAGGCAAGTTCGAAACTTCAGTCCTATGCACCTATACAAGAACCAGCTGAAAGCATCAGAAGACAGTTCTTTGGTACTTCCAAAGAAAATGAGCTTCGGGGGACAGTATCCTTCAAGGGTGTAACTCAACAATTAAAACAGGTTGAAAATGAATAAATTTAACGCAATAAACTCCATGGTCTGAAGAGTTAAGCAAGCCTGAAAAAAAAGTGAAATCAAGAAGACTGTAGTAATTTATTGTAGTCGTAGTATTAGTATTTCAAGATGACCGAATTACAAGAATCCAAACAAAACACAGAGAGGGCAGAACTCAGGAATTTGTATTTAGCGGAATTCTTATGCAATTCATATAAGAAACATATTAACAGTCAACAGTAAGTATTTAAACAATACAGAGATAGAAATTGTCAATCACCACAAAGACCTTTCGTAAGTTAATTTGAATATATTTACTATACTTTTAATTTATCTTAAAATATTACTTATTTCTAAACAGTAGCAGGATAAGGTAAAAACAAACAAGTTTTTAGGCGGAGTCCTGTTGAATTTCCGTCTGTTTAAAATAAAAACAATTGGAAGTGTTTGTTATATTATTGGTTAAATGAATGAATTCTAGCACAAGTGCATTTTGAAATAATAATGATAATAGCAAAGAAGTATATCTCTGTTAGATGATTTTCCGGTGGTGGTTGTTTACTTTGAAAAGTTATGTAAACGCTCAATTGTGAAACATTCATTACCATTCTAGGCAATATATCTCCCGAAGGAAGAATTCTCCATGATTGATGTATTTGGCTCTTCTGAGGACTTTGGTTGTGATCGATTGTTAATTCGCCTTAGTACTGACCATTTGCATTGACTTTTTTGTCATGTAGCTTAATGTCTTTATCAGTTGATAAATTTCGTCTAGGATTTGTCTTATGACTGCAGATTCGTTTGAGTATAAGGCATCTATAATTTGCCTGACTCCTTTGGTGTTTTTTTTACTGCTAATAATTTCTACATTTCTTCAGTTAAACTGATGTTCACGTCAAACAAAAACTGTATTTAAAGTGGTATTCCTATCTGATATCTTTGTGTAACTGATTGAAAACTGTTTCATTTGTATGGGAGAATGACTGACTTAATTGACCCTAAAGCGGTAAATCAGAGTTGTACTTACACCGTTGCAAGCAGTTTGTTCAATCATATGACACTTTTTGCTTAGATTCATTTGGCTTTAATCTAATTTGTTACCTCAAGATCATTGGGTTGGTGATTCACTTGAATCGTCACACTTTAATTTCGTCTGCGAGTTATGATCTGAGCTTAGACTAAGTATATAAGAGAATTGGAGACAAATTTGTCTCCCTTTCGATTCTATCTCAATGACGTGATACAAAGAAAGGCTATTAGATACAGTTTTGAGCTTCTTTAGTTAGTTAGTTAGTTGGCGTTTTGTGTATGTGTGCGATTAAACGAATACTGTATCCACCGTTGGTTTTATAATGTTTGTCTGTTTTAAGAGGCGTTTTTGTCGACCTTCAACATAGCTGAAATATCTATCGTGCCGTTTGCTGTAATTTGCGTAAAGCCACCTTGAGGTTACTCGTATCCTCACGTGTCAACAACCGTGATTGTCGTATTTTTTTAATGGGAGGTCAACCGTAATCCTCACATTCTCATATAGAAGCTCTATGATAACAACTCCAGGAGGACGTCAGCGGCTAGTTCGTCGGTAGTAATATTTCCCATATTTCTGGTATCGGCGTTGAGTCATTCCTACTGAACATGTTCTGTGTTTTGCTTTGATGAACAGAGATCCAGTGAAAAATTTCTCCCTCCACCCACCTAACTATATTACTTTATAGAATCACAGCTCTGTCTCACATCCTATTGGGTGATTGTATGCTGGTATTTGAATAGCAGTAGCTGAGTATTTTCGAAGCTGATAATCTTTCTAGGCTCAATCATTCTACACTTAGCTGAATTATAGTGTTCAGGTAATGTGACTGAATATGATCAACTGCAGTGACATCTATACAATTGACATCGCAGTCATTGCAAAGTATCTTATAATTTAAGCTATTGTTTCTCACTGACGGAATAAATTCCTTAGCCTGTAAAGTTTGCACCCTGAGTAAGTTTTACTTGGTTTAAGTGCCACTCAAACATTGGGTTCCAAATATTCCTGCCTTATGATAATGGCAACAATGAATGTGCATGGCTTGAATTCCTTAATTATGTTATGACCACCAGTTTCACTACTACCACTGCTACAACTACTACCCCTTCTTTTGATGAAGTTTTCGAAACTTCTCAATGGATTCTGTGGGGCTGTTGCTTAGTAATAATGTTTCTTTCACAGTGCATGTTCCATGGCACCAAAATGCATTGACAGCTGAAGTAAACAGATCAAATTGATTTAATTAAAATATACATCTGGTTCAACTGGGAACGCTTGAGTGTGTTTCAAGTTTTTTTTTCTAGCGAATACACTTTTAATGAGGCTGAAACTCAGTTATTGCGCTTCTACCTTGTCCTGGTAACACTCACATCACTGTAAGTCAGGAATTCAGCTATCGCTAGTCAGATATGTTGACATAATCTTCTCATGCAAATAATTCTAACATTTTATTCCATTTAAGTATTTTGTTCATTTTAGCACATTTCTAGATTTAACTGAACCTATCCGATTCTCAATTTTGTTCCTCTCAGTACTTATAAGTTAATTACTGTACTGGTTAAGTGAATGTTTGGACTAGCTGTTTTTAGCAAGGCTAGTATAGCATAACGGGTTGACAACTTAACCAGTCACTAACAATTTTGTCCCACACAAATTCCCTAAGAAATTCGATAAATCTCTTTAAAAATACAAGAAACAGTGTAGGGTAATTATTGATCACAACGCAGATGAGAAGGGGTTCAAGACGACAGCGCGTACACATATTGTCGACATTATTAGTAAGAAAAGGAACATTTGAAACTCTGAGCTCAACCAGTCGTTTCATTTAGTAGTTGTTCTGTATTTACTTATGTTCATTCATCTAATTATCATAAGTTTATTGTTCAGTGTTATAATTTGTAGAGAATAGCAGGATCGATTTTTTAAAAGTATCTCAAGTGCACCTTACAATCAATAACGTTTGAAGATTGCACCAGTCACATTGGCTATTTTATATGATGCTTGGTCAAGTATGGACTTACCAACCGAACACCATTTTACTTCCTGTTAATAAAAATTGGAAAAAAGTATTTGAATTTGGATTCATGATATAAAAGACTTTACACTATTGAGACTCAAAGAAAATTTCAAAATGTCGGGATATTCATAGGGGTTTAGAGAAAAATATTATCTAGAACATAATTCATTGTGAAGTTTCCAATTTAGTATTCATATATATATATATATATATATATATATATATATATACCTCAGAAACTGTAATTCCATACTGACTAGTTTATGGGATGTATCACACACAGTGAAACAGTATTATTAGTATTATCATTTACCGGATGTCGACGTCTCGAACACAATTCATTATTGCAGTTTGTAATTATCCCACTGGTTGTAAAGACTGTGTTTCCTATAGTGTTCGTTCTCTCCTCAAATTTGTCGTAAGGGTAGACAATTTTCCAGATGCCTGGCAGAAGTCTTGAGTCATTCCTATCCAGTAAATAAAGCTTCAGTTACCAGTCTACGATTTCACCTGGTTATATATTGGAATTTATGACCGTTACTTTGTCCACTTCTATTGTATGATTGCATAGAGTGACGCAGGCAGCGCTATAGTTTGAATTCTTCTAGACTTCGTATACTATTAATGTCTACTATAGTGCGATTGCTCGTCATCTAATGGACACTGGTCATATTGTAGACAACCTGAAGTCGTTCAAAATAATCAACAAGCAAAAGAAACCTAGCTTGCTATGATTTGCTGAAGCAATTGCCATCAAACGACTTAAACCAAATCTATGTATGCAGAAAGAGACAGTGGGGAATCTTGCACTGCCCTGGTGATAACAAAAAAAATATACAAATTTCATGAGTCACCTTTTTCATGTTTAGATAACTCTACTCTCTCATCTAAACATGACTCACCCTACCTTGTTTCTTTTCTTTCCTTTTTTCTTTTGGCTATTAGACAAGATGCTTTCTTTAGTTACGTAATCTACCTTTTTAGTTATGCTCTTTCTAGCTTAACCTTGTTTCTACACACACAAATACATACACAACCCGGTTTTTTGTTTCCAATCCTAATTGTCTACTTATTCTATAAATAGTCAGTGTTTGTAACTCCTAATCAGTTAAATCATTCCGGACTAATGTTAATTTTAATTCCTACAAATTACTCCTTGGGATCGTGGAGAAGTTTGTTCATATCTTTAATGTAATTCATATTTTTTAATGTTCAGATTGTAACCAGTTGAGAAGAATCCTCGAAATAATAAAAGATGAGCTCAGATTATTCTGGTACAATTGTTGTTCTTGCTATGCTCCAGTTTAATGTCTACTAGTTGAGATTTCTGTAGGTTTTTATCCTGTGCTAAATTAAGTATCCCAAGCCTGGTACTTTGACCTGTGTACGTGATCTAGCACTCATTTTAAGGTATAGATCCACTAAATTATCTCGTTAAATTGGCTGTACAGAATCCTCTAAACATTATAATTAATTTCCAGTTGAGTTTTGTGATTGATTGGATACAACTTTTATCCTTGCCTTGCTGCAAATCCGGAGCAAAGTTTCTGAGATTGCTTCTTTTTTATGCGTGAACTGCGAACGCCTTAAATTCTCCAGCTTGATTATGCCATCTTCATGCATTGAATTCAGTAGTGATTTTCTTACTAACTGTTTGCTTCGTCTTCATTCCTGTCATCATCTTAATTACACTTTTGGACTTAACATTTACTTTGTAAATGCTGATATAGAGTTAACCACATCATTGGATGATAAATTTTGTTTGAAACTCTGTCACTCAGTAATGATAATAATACTGTTTTCAGTGTGATGTATAAATATATATGATAAAATATTAGTACTTAGAGTGACAAAATAACTACCAGAGAGTCCAAGTTTTGCACAGACGTTAGTCTTTCAGAATGCTGCACACACCTCATTTTGCATTTATAAATTTGACTGTTCTTCTAAAGACAGTTACATGGGTAGAACAATTCGGTAAGCCAACTGTCACCTTCTTAAGAATTGTCCAAAGAGGTTAGTTAAAGAAGTCATAGAGTCAATCAGGGGTTCCATATTAGTACACCGTGTGAATACAGATCCATAGATTGCTAAAAGTTCAGTCGTTAGAATTCTATACATGGCATCAGCTTAATTCCCTAAGTTTGTGCACCTTCGATTGCTAAGCATAGCTGAGGCAGTTGCCATTAAAAAAAGGTTCAGCCCACTCTTTGTGCTCAGAGGAAGTTTGTTTTAATCCCTCTCCTTCCTGTTGCCTTTAACTCTGACTTAGAACACTCATCATAGTGACACGGGATAACTGCAAAATATTACTTCTGTTCATACTGCTAATTTCATTATTAGTATTATACTGTGTTACAGTTACACATCTTATTTTTAGTTCCACAATTTATTATTATCATCATTATTCTACTTACATTCTCCCCGATTATATCTGATTCTATTGATCTCCATTATGTTCAAATGTCTATGACTGATGTTTTATTGTGTAATTGTGAAGCCTGATGAGAATTTTCCAGAAATACACGTCTGCCCGCCTAAATCGTGTTTTGAATTTTGTTCTAATGGGAATATTTAAATCATGTGTAACTTAGATATTCGCGTTTAATAAAAAATAGGCAGAAAGGCTGTGTTTAGGCACTCACTTTTTGTGGTCTGAATCCGAGCTCCTAATTTTAAATTTGTAGAAATAATTGTCATTTAGATTATGGAATTTTAAAGATTGAAAGGATTATAGTGGCATTCTATCGTTTTTGTCAAACATAGAAAAACGTTACATATTGTAATGTTATCTGTACAAAACCAGACGCTTAAAGTAAACTATGGCAGTTACCACGAATAAACAAACTTGAACAAGTAGTCGGAGCGAAGGGACGTTTCGATTAGTGTAAACGTGTTGATGAAGTGTATTGATACACTGTAAGAACGATCCTCAATTCAACATAATAAGTAGTCCATTATATATATATATATATATATATATATATATATATATATATATATATATATATATATATATTATCGACCGTGAGCAAACCGTGAACGCCAGTATATACGTGGTATTCGTATCGTTTGATTGGTTGCTTCTCTGTAATTTACAGAAGGTTCTTGTGCTATTCACTTTTTGGTAGTGGATAAAGTAGTTTAGTCTCGCAGAGTTTAGTTATGAAGGCAACACTGTCAAGTTTCCAGAGGTTATTTGGTTATCGCATTGATTGGTTCTCCTGTTGCACCCTTTAGCTAACGCATAAAACTAGGTTATTTTTGACGTCTTGCATGTTATCATAATCTGGCTGTATCAATTTTTGTTTCTAAAATCATTATCTCTAGTGAATCCGCTTATCTGTCCGTAACGATCTGGAAACAAAAGTTAACCAATAAGCATCAAGGTGGCAGATCTGGCGATATAAGACAACTGAACTCTATCTGTGGTCCCTTTTTACTGGCATACACTTTTTATATAAATTGATTTGCTCAATATATTTTTGCCACTTAATTATTAAACAAATACATCACTGAAAAATAATGACGTTAACTTTCAATAAATAAAGGTTATTTCACAATATGCACTTAATTGAAAGTGAATAATACTCATAGACGAAATAGACAACAATTCTCATAGAAATAAGATTAGCTGGATAAATTTGAAGAATATTGATCCAGGAGGATAACGGGACAAATGACTTTCAGTCGACTAGTCAGCTTCCACTTAACCAATGCATCATTTCGATAAGCAGAGGAATAAATGATTAGAAGGACATGCGGAGTAGATTTCATCCGAGAAAAGTGCCTAACTCTTCCTAACTCAAACGTATAACACTAAGTAATAGAAATTTGGATGTAACAGGCAGTTAAACATGCTGCAAGAACAATATCCTGTTTAATACTTTCTTTTCAACTTAATATCCAAATTTCTTTGTTAGGTTTTCAAACTTTTTTTCTCGAATTACTTAGATTCTCTCCCACTGGTTGTTTAGTGGTCGTTCATGCGTTCATTCAACTGAACGATTATTATTCGACTTCTCCATTTCTTAGTCTTTAGTAGAGTTAATTTTAGCTTTTGTAGTTATCTCAATTTCATGAATTAGTTTGTTATAAATATAATCTTGCTGCTTACGATGATCTTTAAAAGATACGAAAATAATCAAACAAACAAAGAAAAAAATCAATTTGACCGAACACTTCCATTATAATCGACCGCCTAGTGAAATATGTAAGGGAAAATTATATTTGTACAAATCTTATGATACGAGTCTCATTTCCCGAGTAGCCTTACTGGATACAGATACATTCCCATCTGACGAGTAGGAAATGGGATGAGTCGGGGGTATCTGGGATTCCATTTCTAGCTGCCAACAACCAAGATGACATCATATATTCGCATCTGATGAGGTAAGTCAATCAGATCCCAGAGGAGGGGGAGTCTAAATGTGTCCTTTAATTTGAGTTTATGCAATACTTCAAACGGCAAAGGTACCCGAGGATTGGAAGAAAGGATACTTATTCAAACTGCTAAAGAAAGGAGACTTAAGTCAATGCAAGAACTGGCGTGGAATTATGCTCCTGTCCATCCCAAGCAAAATACTAAGCCGCACCATCCTGGAGAGAATCAAACAAGCCCTGGATGAGAAACTTCGACCGGAACAGGCTGAATTCAGGAGAAACAAGTCACGCATCAATCAAATCGCCACACTACGGATCATCATTGAACAGAGCATGGAATGGAAGTCACCTCTCTATCTCACTCAACTTCATAGACTTTGAAAAGGCCTTCGATAGTGCAGCGTCGACACAGAGGTCATTCGGAAACTACTTCGCTACTATGGGGTGCCGCCGACAATTATACATCTCATCCAACAGTTGTACGACAATGCTGCATGACAAGTAATCCACAACGGTAAACTTACGGAAGCCTTCGAAGTGAGGGTGGGAGTAAGACAAGCTGGCTGGCTGTCTACTATCGCCAATGACTTTCCTGATTGCAGTAGATTGGATCATGCGACAAAGGGCGGGCTATAAGGAAACAGGCATAAGAGGGACCCACACACAAAAAAGAACTTGGAGGATCTGGACTTCGCCGATGATATGTGTCTGATTTCACACAAACTGGAAGATATGCAAGTGAAAAGCAACAAGTTGGCGATGGAAGAAGCATCCAGAGAAGATAGGACTTCGGGTGAACATATAGAAAACAGAGGTGATCTAGATTCCTGACCAACACCAACAACAGCAACAACAACAGACAACAATCAGCCGGCATAAATGGGAGGAACCTGGAAAAAACACCCTCCTTTACCCACCTACCTACCTGGGAAGCTTTGTCTCAACTACTGGCGGAGCTGACGAGGATATCAAAGCGAGGATCATCGGGAAAGCAAGACAAGCTTTCATTACTCTCAAGTCTGTGTGGAGGTCAACAGCAGTCAACATGAATATAATAAGACCCAGACTTTCAACTTCAATGTGAAGTCAGTGCTACTTAACATACTGATCAGAGACTTGACGCGTCATGAAGAGCACCTCAAACAAAATGCAGATCTTAATTAACAGCTGTCTTCGCTCAATTCTGCTCAAGATCAGATGGCCGACCAGAGAAGATCAGCAACAGGGTGGGATCACTGGCAATGAGCGAACCAGCCAGGAACCGATTATGGAACAAATAGACAGGAATAAATGGAGGTGGATTGGATTGGCTATACTCTGAGGAAACCATCAAGTGACATCATACGCCAGACCATCACTCGAGTGGAACTCTAACGGAAAGCGGCGAGTTTGTCGTCGGTGCAAGGATGACTTGGAGGAGGTCATGTGAAGAGGAGATGAAAGCTCGTGGACAGACTTGGAGCCAGGTGAAAACGTTGGCAGAGAACCGAAGGTAATGGAGACTTGGGCGTCTGAAGCCCTATGTTCCTCTAGGAATTAAAACAAATAATAATACAATGGTACTTCAGATACGTTCACTTTCTAGATGGAGGTTTCGGGGGTAATCATAAAATAAGGAAAATCGAGGTAAGCAAACATATTTAAATCACTGAAATCCCTCTTAGAATTCGCCAGACTATTATTATTATCATAAAAGTAGTTTAATGATTAAATATTATGTAAAAGTATAATAATTTATTTTGTTTTCATTGATAAAATGAGTTTACTCACGATGAACTAGAGCTATTTATTTCAAATAAAGACAGTCAAAGTTCAGTACACAAAAACATTTAAATCAATAGTCCTCCTTGAAAAATTAAAAAAAGAAGAATTTCTAGGAAAATTTCCCGGAAGGAGGTGATGGACGATTCCACTTGCTTTATTCAGCCTTGGCAACAAATTCGAAAAAAGCGGAATTTTGTGTACAGTCTATTTCATTGCTATGGTCTTAATTTTCTCCTAGGATTAGCAAAGTTTGTTTCCTCTTCAGTAGGCCATATTATTTCAATTTGTTTTGTTCTTCTTCGCTCAGAGTCATCACGATATGGCATTTTATTTTATTCTAGTGACTACACTTCACTCATCTAATTTCCCGTTATAAATTCATTTGAGCAATGGTAAAATTCATATTATGTGCACTCTTTGTCTCTCCAGTGTACCCAATCTTCCTATCATCTAATTACGCATTTTTATTGTCTCCTGTGTTGAAATATCGGTTATTCATTCGTATTTTATTTCGCGACTTGTGATTTACAATCATCTGAAGCAATGCTATTGCGCTTTAGAACTTGCTTGCACTCATAGTCAATTTTCTTCTTGTTTTTTTTTTGAAATAAAGGGTATTTGGAGAAATGAAAAATATCTAGAGATGGAATCTGAATTGAATTTTTGATTTTCCCGTCGATTGATTGGACCGAAGTTCGAGCCTCGGTGGGAACATCATCACTCACTGAGAAATGCAGGTACATCCAGCTGACGAGTCCCAATTAGGACGAAATGCGCATCCTGGATTCCACCGCTAGCCGCCATCCACCAATTGTATACAGATGGAATCTGCTTTTTAATTACTGCTTTGCGAGGATATGACCGATTTTGAAGTTGGGCGTTATTACGAACTACTAAGGGTTGGAGAACCACTACAAGAGCAGCTATTTAATCTCACTTTGTCACTCTTCCATGGACCATGAATTCTAGCTTCTGCTAACTTGCCATCTGTAATAACGCCACTACTACCCAGTATTGTCTGCGAGTATTTGTCCACACAACCAAGTTGGTGAACAGTTGCAAATTATCAGCGGTTGGGATTCCTGGGCCATCAGATTCTGTGCGAATGCCTGAGTGCCTAACACGCTCGTCTTGTAACTTGGAGGTTCTGGTTTCAAACCCTGACAGTATAGCGGATGACTACTTCTAAATAGTCTAAAAGTAGGATGGAATAACCATCCAATACTAACTGACCGATCTCAGCTCATGATCATAACTTAGAACTATGTTTTTCCTCTTGAAATCTGTAAGCATACATGAGAAAGTGTAAGCTAGCGTACGTGTTTCATGAAGATTAATAAGAGTAGAGATCTGAAATAAACGCTTCTATTGTGTCAATAGTCAAGAGACCACAATTTTTATTCATTAAAAAGACTTCAGTTTAACAGTTGGCCATTCACTCAGTCGGTCAAAAAGGTGTATTTGAAGCCCCGAAGTAATTGATGTCTGATCTGCCTGAGGAGCTGACTTACTGGCAACACTCCTGACTGCAGCATTGAGTGACGTTGTGATTCATATCTGTGACAGGAGACAGAGCTTGTTGTTGACTGCTTTCAATGATTTACAATCAATGCAAAGGGCCCCTTGATGCCAATTCATCTACCTTGGTGACCACATTACAGACTTCACTGGATAGCCAGTTCAGTTAACAAAAACACTAGCGGAGTAAACGCGTGACTTTGATTGCCCTTTAGTCTTTTGTCGCAAATATTCAGAAATAAAATAGTCCTGAACTTACCGTTTCCCTGAACCTGATCTATATTTGGGTGAGTTAGAAACAGGCAAAATATTAACGGCTTTTATCTATGAGATTATTCATATTTGCGAGTAAATGGCTGTGAGGTACATTATCACAGAATATCGGGGAAAATAAAGATTATTAGAATTGTTCGTATATGTCAACATCAATACGGTGAAAGCTGACTCAGAATTTCCACTGCCACACTGTTGTCAATACGCAGAAGCAGCTTGTTGTGCTCATTTTCCACTGGGAACATTGGTGGGTTCAAGAAAATCAATCCATAGGTATTCTTACTATGGGCACCTTCCTATACATCCCAGTCATTTAGCCAATATTAAACTTGCTCTCTACTGTCTCATGCAAGCTGGAGCAGACTGATTGCTCCCTACATTAGTCACAAACAGTTCCATTGGCTTAGGACATATGAACAGTGGGGAGATTCTAATGTATCTCTCTGCACATGGAATCCCATCGACAATCCACTGTTCATACGCCTTACTTCACCGCGCAACAAGTCTCGGTCCTATTAGGATCACAGGTATAACACTCGCTATTCAACGTTTAACCTTGGTACCTATTCCAGGCGCCATGGGTTCTCCTACCACATACAAATTCAAAGAGTTATCCTAAATTAAGGCTAGACATCGAAAGTGTGAGGGTTGATTCCACAAAGTGATTAGTGGTGCTTGTTGATTTCATTCCCTCTGTATAGAATCATCACCATCTTGAGATGTACTTATGTGTAACCGATTGTTATACACTTGTATCGCTAATGCTGACCCTTAACTTCAACAGAAAAAGACTTCCTAGTGTTTTGAGGGAATATTCAAGCAACTAATCTACTAGCCTAATCTTTATATATATTGCTGTGTAAAACCACCATAAAGCATTAGCTGTTGAGGCAGAAGATACTAATATAATGTGATTCTACAACCAGACCCCTAACCTTATGCAACCAACCAAATTAATTATTTGATAGTATATACATACACACATGCATATACACACATATATTGCAATTAGTAATGTTCTCTGAGCTGGTTGGTTTAGTTGCGGAGCTTTCGTCGTCCCCCTTCTGGACAACATCTCCCTTCAGCCAAATATTTAGCATAAAGTGAAATGATTTAAATTTCTTCATGAGTGATGTAATTGCGTCTTCCGGTAAACATCTTTACATATGTATGGATAATTTTCTATGGACTCGGATTTTAAACTTTCTGGTCACATGATTTACTTTTTATTAGTTGGTATATTTCGTCTATATTGACGTGTTTTTTAATTGCATATTCGTTTGAGTACCAGGCTTCTAGGACTATTCCCTGACTGCACTTTTGGTATTTCCTCTGTCTAAGATTTGGACATTATCCCAATCAAATTGATGTCCATAATTGTCTATGTGCATTGATATGAAAGAACATATATCGTGTTTTTTCACGGCTGATTTGTGTTTTTGGATTCTGATTTGAAAGGGGACGCCCACTTCGACCACCGATGTAATGCCTATTACAGTTCATACATGCAATTTATTTTGTAAATGGTATTAATTTTATCTGCTTTTTCTGTTGGGTTTTTCGGTTTGCATAATCTCGAATTATAAGCGATTCGACTGGCTTCTCTATTACACACATATATTTTTTGTCTGATAAAGATCTGACCAGTCTTGTCTTCTAGACTGAGTGCAGTAAAAGGTGTCTGAGGAAGACACTAGTTGTATTCAGTATTCAGTAGATTTACCGAATGCACTTCAGTGAAGAACGAGAATAGCCCCCCCCTCCCCCGCAGTATTATCATTATTATTACTTGCAGATATAACAGTTTTGGCATATCTTGTTATTGGTCAAATCACATGCCCTATAAAAAAACAAGCTTTAGCTCTCACTGCTTACCGCTTTTTATGATCTTTTTTGCTTAAATAAATAATTAATCAATTAATTCAATTAGGTATTAATTAATTTAAAATCAGCAATGCAAAATAAATTTAATATAGTGGGATGAAAAACGACAGTGTAAATATAAATGACAAATCTGACTAGTATTACGTTAATTTAGGCTACTTGATAATAATAATAATAAGAAGAAGAAAGGACATGAAGTCGTTATAGATCTCATATAATTCTAATTCGCCTTTCTGCATGTGCTGTTGCATACTTAAATAAATGGATACTTAACTGATTAAAGATGCCAGTCAGACATTTTAAAAGACTGAGAGTAGTGAACAAAAAATATTCTATTGCGAGAACTTCTTCATGAGGTTCTAAAGTTAACATAAGAATAAAACTAATGCATTGGGATAGAGTATAATTCCATTATGGGTAAAATTTATTCTGATAAAGTTTCACAGTGTTATACAGTAATGTTTACTGATGACCACATAAAGAGCACAATTTATTGCTCATAATCATATCAAGGTACTCACACGACTTCCTAACTTCATTTATATGATTCCATTATTTTCCATCGTTTGATTTGATTGGTAGTAGTATTTTGCATATCTCCAGTATGAATGATAAGTCATTCCTATTCCATGTGTTGTGTGTGTAGACTCGATGAACCAGGCAGGATTCAATAATCAACCTGTCTATCTCCACCTAACTGTATTAATTTTTACAACTTTAACCCTCTACTAACTTGCTGTGTGATTGAGTTTTAATGCATGCAGTGCAGTGTAGTGCTGATCTTTTTTCTAAATTACTTATCTTTTCAGGGTCAACTATCCTTACCTTAACTAAATTCTTGTGTTCCAACAATCTGACTACCCCCGACCTAACTCACAGTCATTGCAAGATATTTTGTGAATTATATTATTTTGTTTAATTGGCTCCACCTGGGCTTTTAGCCTACATAACTTTTCTCTGAGTGAGTTTGTAGGTTAGAATGCCACTCTAATTCCTGTTTTATTAAGAATCCTACCGCGTAGGGTCTCAGATGTCCCCTCCTTAAGTGAAATAACATTAGACGTAATGGCTGCATAGGTCAGGCAAACTAGTAGTTCGTGGATAGTCAGATTGGCGGAATATAAGAATTTGGCTAAGGTAAGAATGGTTGACCCAGAGAAGATAAGTAATTTAGAAAAGACCTCAGCAATTGCACTACATGAATGAACACGCAACCACACAATAGGGTGGGAGAGGGTTAAGATTCTAAGAAGTAATCTATGTAGGTGGAGAGAGAGAGGTTGATTATTGAATCCTTGTTCATCGGGTAGTCTTCACCCAATACATGAAACAGAAATGACTCAATGCAAATATCAGAAATATGGAAGATATTATCACCACCAGTCAAAACAGAGGAGGATAATGAATAATCTCAAAATTCTATTTCAATTCAAGCACATCACAACATTCTAACAAGTAACTTATTATGACTATAAAAGAAACACTCGTCTTATTTCCCATCTGATTGTATTTGATCAATAACACTCATATTAATAATTCTGAATGTACATTATCCCATACTGATTTTTATTCACTATCTAGTCAATTCCACACATGTATATAAATGAAGGGGAGAAGTTGTGTGAGTAACTTGATATGATTATGGGTGGTAATAATTTGTGGTCGAAACGTGCTCATCAGTAAATACTACTGTATAACACTGTGTGATTTATCAAAATAAAATCTTATCTATAATGGGTTGTCTTCTACCACAGCGCCCAAGTTTTATACTTATGACAACAATCTTTCCCTTAACTAGTAAGGATATATATAAAACTGTAGAACCTGATGAAGAGTACTAAGTTATCGAGAGAGAATATTCTTTCTTCAGGAATCTCAGTCTTTTGAAATCACTGTTGAATAGTTTCCAAATATATGTGATTGATTTCTTATTAAAAGTTAGTATAATAAAACTTGAAAACTTACTGTTCTTTGGAACCACTTGAAATTACAAGGAGAGAAAAGAAATTGATTAAACCACTGTGTCATAAAATATGATTTGCAAAAGCGAGAATAAAAACCGAATCTCTGATCATGAATGAGATGGAATTACGATCCGATAGAAAATTAACTCTTGTATCTCAGTCTCTTATGAATTAGTTCCTCTAATCCATTATATCTCATTCTCATCGGCACAGTTAATCAAGACAGCTTCATATTACGCAGTTATACAGGATACGGTAAGTGGGTGAAGTGAAACTCGAACCAGGGACCCCCTGGCTATATGTTGAGTGTTGAAGTCAATGAGGCACATCTCTACCCTGACTAACATAGTCAGTCGTTTTTATCATAGGTAGGATAGTTTTTTATTCCTTTAAGTTCCCAGTGGAACATAGGCTTTCAAGCCACAGGCTAGAAGTTTTGGTAGCAGTGCTGTTTACTTTTACGAGATGGGATGGCTAGCCTCATACCCAACCTCCCTATTTACCAGATTTATTACTGGCGTCGGTGGCCTGGGATTGAACCCCGGATCACATGCGTGGTTGGCAAGCATCCTACCAATGTACCATCGACGCACAGACAGGATGGTAGCTGCAATCAAATTATTCGTAAATTTGAGAACTTCTGTTAAGAAAAGTCTGCGTATGTTTAAAATCAAATTTTACATTCAGTGATGTATTATAAAGTTACATTCGTGATTTGAAGAATCACTTGGAAAAAATGCCTCTGTCATCCTTATTTTGTCAATGACTCTTCATAAATATGTATTTACGACCCCAAGAACCTACAGATTATTAGTCCAAGCTATTGAAAATTCAGCGTATGAGAGGGAATCGAATTCTAGCTTCTGAAAATATGTGATATTTATTGGTTCACAGCAAAACCAATGTCATCGTGGGAGCAGATGTCATCACCATTGACTTAGCTGACCTCACTGTGCAGAAATTAGAATTCACGGATCACTGGATCCCCGCTCAATGCCCAACCTGAAAGCCTGGGTTTTGATCTCCGATAGTGGGGTCATGAGTATGTACTGTTTAAGTGCCTCAAAAAACGGTGGATAAAACAGTTAATCAATGCTCCCTGATTTTCGCTGGTTCTGTAACTGATGAGTCAGTTCGTTATGTAACTCAATTTATCACTTTACTAGAGTAGAATTGTTGATGGAGATCTAATTGAAAAGTGAACATTTTTCGTTCAATTTACGGTCTTTAGGATTCTACAAGATTTAGTGAGGTTTCGTAAAAATGATAGAGATATAAGAATGTAAGGCTCAAGTTCTACAAAATCTTGAGTCATTGGAGTTATTATTGTTAATTTAAACACTCTCTAGTCGCTATTCTTTTGTTACAGCACATGTGCCTTTAAAACACATACCGGGGGGTGGGTTATTTACTCTGTCTTATAATATAACCAACTTTGTCCGTCTTTCAGTATCGATGCCGGTTCCGTGCCAGCAATCAGTCAGCTAATCATTACACACGAAGTTAAACTGTATAGCTTTCTCCTCCCAGTTTGGTACTTTTCAACAGTTCACACTAACAACTCCTTCAAGACTTGAACCCAGGAATTTCGACCACCTCCAGGCTTAACAAAACTCAAAATCTGGATGTTAATCATTATTGGTTGCAGGATGGATGCTGTGAGATCCTAATGAGATGTTGTGACTGATAGATAGATCCTAATCTATTAGAGATTGACTAACAGTGTTGCATTGGTGGCATAGTGATTAAGACGCTCGCCGACCATGTACTTGATCCGCAGTTCGATCCCCGGCCACAGACGTACTCCTTTACGTCGCTAAGCCAGAAATAAAAGAGCTGGAAAAGAGGAAAGGTTAGGCATGAGGCTAGCAACCCCATGCTGTAAAAATAAATACTGCTTCAGAAACTTCAAGCCACCAGCTTGAAACCTTATGTTCCACTGGGGAATGTGAAAGGAAATAAAGAGAAACAGCGTTGCCATATCACTAAATGAATTTCATCTAATTGGGTGAACTGCTAACGCGTTGGCCCCAACCTAAAGGTCTTGGGTGAGGGTTACTGATGAATCCCGATTTAGGAGGAAGCTGCCTTCCAGTTCACACTGGTTTTCAATGATTTATTGAATCATGATCACACCCAAACTGAAGCTGATCAAAATATATACAAAAACTTAAAGTATGAATAGCACTGAAAGTAGGTTCACAAATCAAAGACAAAAAATAAATTTGAATCGATTATTTCTTACTCTTTATGATGATCTTTATGCTCTTTTTTACTGTAAAACAAATTTGAAAGAAAATGTTGACGTGAACTGAGTACTACTCAGCAAAAGAAGATAAAAGGATCTGATTTGTGTTCAACACTAAAATCGAGTCACTGAATGCTTATAATATGACTCAGAGCATTGACGCAAACACCATCAGAAAGCATCTCCAATTGGCTACTACACACTTTCACCATACCTACCAGCCTTAGCTGTGTCAGTAATGAAGATCAGACGGCTGGCTGGCCAGCAGGCGTAAGTAGGCAATCAGTCGAAAACCTATCGCTCAACAAATATGCATAATAAAATGTAGGTGGATAGTCTGGACATACATTGATGGGGAATTCAAATCGTATCGGACGCCTGGCACGACTGCAAGTGGAAGCCGAAATGGAAGTGTTGAGTTGGTTGTGAGGTCCGAGAGAGACATGGAGAAGATGTTGTGCGGGGGGGGGGGGAAGAAGAAATGAAAGCTTGTAGTTAGTCTTGTGGCCGATTGGAAGTGATGGCGGAGGTTGGTTGACTTGGAATGCAAGGAATGTATAACTATAAAAATGACTTGATCCAAATTCACACTATAAGGATATAAAAAAAGCAATCTGAAAGGTTTTCAAGTATGCAGTTAAAGGCGAAGTTTTACCATATCTTTGTTTAGTCAACTCAAAATATTAGGATGACAATATCTCACCCTCCCAGCGGCTAAGTGGTCAACGTACTAGCCCCATTACGGGATCCTGCTGGCTTCGGTCAACCGTTAGCAAGCTTATGGGTGGATAGGTGCTACTGAATAGTTAATCCCAAACTAGAAGGATGAAACGGCCATCAAATACGCCCTGCTAGTCATCAGTGGTTAGCTAACTGAAGTCACTTCTTTATCTAACGTGATTTCAAACAAATCCCCACAAAAGCAAACGCCTAAAATCTTATGCACTAAAATCTAACTTTGTTAAAAAATTTTGATTCCTCTGTATAATACACATAACTGAAGAAATTAAAACCATTGACAGTGAACACTGATTAGTTTTATTTTATGTGAAATCTTACTGATCTTTAGAGCCACTGCCACTGAAAAGAATAAAATACATAGGCTATACTGTTTAGCAACACCATGGTATATAAAAACGTACAACACAAAATATAACACAACTGAACAAGGAAGCTTAAGTGCACTCAGAGTCTTTTAACATTTAACAGCTTAATTTCACTGAAATCGACAACAACTGTCTGAATGCTCCTTCCGGCTAAACCTCAGAAATAACTGATATTAAATTAGACAAGATTTTGATTGTTTCACAGTAATGAATTTGAGATGGTAAGCATTGGGTTAAACGTATGGATGATAGCCAATGGCTTCTTGGAATACATCGGGCTCCGCGTTTACTTCAACACAAGCGACTAGCTAATATCAGTAGACCTCCTATAGAAAGTTTAATTCATAGAAAAAAACACAGGCGAAAAATTTGTTCTGAGTAACCCAGTTCCATCTTTCTAATTATTTGAATAATGAGTATATGAAATCCAGGGCTCATATCTCTCAGACTTTGAACTGGCCACTTAAAGCTACATGCATTCATATTGAATGATAGTGTTGCCACTAGGCCTCAAAATCCAGCACCTTTATCATCCATCAACAGGTGGAATAATTCATGAACCAGGAGATACAAACAGATTTGCTCAATGGTCATGGATACTTGCTGCTGAAGACATTTAAAAGCTGGATATCATTTCATAATCTACCTTGAAACAACAATGAAAACCCTAAAAACCAGTCAACACTTGAAAATCACACTAAAATGTCAGGTGCATTCTACTGCTCACTGTTTTTTGTCGTCTCCACCCCTGAAAAGAAGGTAAACAATGTTATGTTTTATATACTTCAGAATAAAAAGTTGTTCAAGAATTCAAAGGAGATGATGTACAGGAAGTAGTCAAACGAAGACTCGATAAAGCTATTGAGAGAACTTATTATGCAGCAAAACTTGTTATCCTTAACACCACCAAGGGAGTGCTTCAAAAATCTGAGAAAGACCAGTCGCCAATCTTCGACAATTCAAACTACGTATATCAATTTGAGTGTGTTTATGGAAGCAAATACACAGGTCGTACAGAAAGGCGATTGTCTACTCGCATGATTGAACATTTGCCAAAATGGTTGAAAACAGCTGGATGCAAAGTGCCAAAATCCTCAATAACAAAACACCTTGTGGATTACGGACATGATATCGACGCGGTCAAATCATTCACCATTGTCAGCAGACAAAGAAACAAGAAGATGCTTGCGATTGCAGAGGCTTGTGTAATTCGAATTTATAAGCCAGCTCTCTGTGTACAAAAGGAGATGGTCGTCATTCTGACACTACCATGGTAATACGTTTTACTTTTTAATGTACCTCTTATTATTATTATTCTTGATTCATTTTTATTTTTTTATTTTTTTATTTTTGTTTTTTGATTTACAGCTTGATTCCACACCTTATTTTTGGTACAAGTATGGAATTTTCAGCATGGATATCAGTAGCCCAAATTTTGCAGGCCGACCATAGATATCAGGTGTGCGCCGGCGTGGGCTCGAACCCCGGACCATGTGCATGGTCGGCGAGAGTCCTAACCACTGTGCCACCGACGCACATTTAAAACTATCCTTTATCAGTAGGATTATCTTAACTCACTTCAACACTATTATTATTATTATAACTATTACTATCGATATTACTCTGTTTGCAATTCTTGATATATTCTCTAACGACTAATTGTTTATCTAAGTGATGTAATTGAAGTGTAATGCAATTTATCTTAATTTTGATCTCTCATACTGTCTCTCTCTCCTTATCTATTTAAACATGACCTGGAAAACATTCACACCTGTCTTTCTGCATGACTAATTCAATGTAGTTTATTTACTTATCAGTCTTATATCTTCCAATGTAATTTCAAAAGTATATATATCCGTGTATGTAGAGTATTCAGCTGACGAGTTCTACCGAAATTCGATGAATTCATTAAATCCTGCTTTATTAACCTTTATTGCTTGTTTTAAATTCAAAATAGTTTGCCGAACATTATGAAATAAAACTTACATTTTGTATTTTTATCTAAATTTTAGAATTATAGAAAAAATACGAACTGGCAAATCACTATCTGAGCACTTCAATATTATTAAAAGAACAATATAAATATGTGAAAACACAATTGTTTATGTGTGTTTGTGATGACTGGGGTTTCAACAAGAAATTGGGTGTTGGACCAGTATGTACAATCAGTTAAAAAATTATCTTTGCTTTTCACATGGATACGAGAGCAAATTCCAGTTTATGGATTTACAGAGAAGAAGGTGTTTTCTATAACACCTGAACGACTTCTATCACTTTACCCATAATTGAAATGACTTCAAGATCATTTATCGGATTCATATCAGTCTGCTTTCGTTTCGTTCCATTCAAAGAGAGCTAAGGAGCTGACTATTCATTCACCTTAGTCAGACTTTTGAGTACAGAGGAGTATGCGCCGTCCCTATTTCTACCATGGCCTTAGTGTAGAAAAAAGGGATAAAAGAAACTATCGCTGCGTCTATTTTATCTGCATAGCATTCCATTGTGTTATCAGCGATATGATTATTCAAATGTTGATTAGCAGCGATTTGATTTGACTGGTTACAAGACTTCATAATGAGCTAACACCATTTTAGAGAACCATTGGAAAGTCTGGGAGTACTGGACAGGTGTTTCCGCTGTCCTAGTTTGGGGCTCTTCAGGAGTGTACAACCACCGGCAGGGTTCTAACGAAGAACCTTCTGGTAATAAAGCTCACTAGCTCGTAGACCATTAAGCCTATGGGACTCGATCCGATTGTCCACGAATTTCAACTTTTGCCAATTCACGATACAGGTCTTCCAGTGGTTCTTTAACTGATGTCAGCTCATGATGATATCCTGTAATTGACAATACTATTCTTCTCATACATTTGGTTCCCTTGATAAATTTCGATAAGGAAAGGAAGAAGAAATTTGCAGTATAAAATGAGACCGTCATTCTCTTTCACAGGTTCTCATCACCTGCCTTTGACTACCTGAAATTACAATGATTACATAGATGAGAATAACACACTTTAATGTTTAAGTGGTAGTAGAGAAGAAAGACTATAAAATTGACGCATCCAATATGATAGCATTACAAATTTTAGTTCAAGTTTTCATCATCAATTTATACGCTTTTAAAGTTGAAAAGAGAGATGGGGGAGGGGTAAGACAGAAAACAGAAAAAATTGATTTACAGAACAGTGTTAGCTTGTAGGTTCACACAGCAACTCAAAAGACGAAAGCGGTTACAGTTTATGAGATTGAGATTTGTTCAGTGAGTTGAGATCACTGAATTAGATGACTAATTAATTAATGTAATCAAAATCAAAATTCAGTTCCCAAGGTAGTGAGAGGTTAATCACACTCTCTTTCTGTATGCACAAGTCTGATTTAAATCGTTTGATTGCGATCGCTCAGGCAAATCGTAATAAATTTGCTGTCCTTTGTCTATATAACATTTTGAAGGACTTAGAAATTTCTACGAGATGTCCGGTATCAACAAAATGTCTGGTAATTGAACTACTTACATTTTGGATGTGTCAGTTTTATAGTATCTCTTCTCTACTACCATTTAAACATTAATGTATGTTATTCTCATCTATGTAACCATTGTAATTTCAGGTAGTTAAAGGCAGGTGATGAGAGCCTGTGAAATAGAATGATATCATTTTATACATTTTATAATTTTCTTTATTATTTTCACTTTGATTAAATACCGGTATTAGTTCGCCTGTACTCCTCCTTAGATCAGTTTAACATTCTGTTTTACAACGTTAAACTCTATCTTATCAAGCTACTCACAATGCTAGATAATGCTTCTCTAACTTACTAATTTCATTAATCCAATCAACTTCAAACCTCTTTCCAAGATCTATACCTTCACTCAACCATTTCAAACATCTCACAACCTGTTTTATCGTTTACATGCAGCCATCGTTACAATCGAAAACGTTTTGTCACACTTCACACGCACTGTCTAAATGTCTCTACGAGTCACCAAAAATTAACCAGAATAAAGCTGTCTATTTTTAAGTGTATTGGTTGAAATCCATGATCCAAGCATCCAATGTAGTCACTGACTAAGTTCTTATATCACTGACTAAGTTAGTTGGTGACATACTCCTGTTGTCGCCCATAATTTACTATAATTTTTGTTGTTGATTATAGCTTGATTCCACACTGTGGTTTTAGTACAAGTATGGAATTAACAACATGTGATGTCGGTAGCCCAAATATAGCAGTCCAACCAATTGATATCAGGTGTGCGTCAGCAGGGGATCGAATCTTGGACCATTTGCATGGTCGACGAGCGTCCTAACTGCTGTGCCACCGACACACAGCGTATTTTTTCCGTGGTGATTTCAACTTACACCATTTAATGCCAAAGCCATTAAAGTCTCTGATCACTATGGGAACTCAGTGAAGTTGACTTGAAATACGATATGTGGCTGGGGTGAAAGTGGGTTTGAAACTACTCGGTGAAGACTGATGACTGGCAGCAAGTCCACTACAAAATTCCGTTAGTTAACTTTCGCTACCATTTAACAAGTAAAATGCTTGATAAGGCCTTTGTTAACAAGCTGTTTTCATTATCTAAATTAAAATTGCGTAGTCTAAATAAGTATATGAGGAGAAAAAGTGTTTCAACGAATTACACTCTCAGAGAAGGAATAATTACTATGGTCCAAAAAGCAAAGTGTTTCATGGTGTTTGGCATTGAGATATATGATTTTAAATTAGGCGCAATATAACTAGGACATATGCGTCGGTGGCACCGCTGTTAGGACGCTCGCCAACCATACACATGGTCCGGGGTTCGATCTCCGGCCACAGACGCACTCCTTTACCTCGCTAAGCCAGAAATAATGCTGGTAAATAGGGAAGGTTGGGTATGAGGCTAGCAACCCCATCCTGTAAAATTAAACACTGTTACAGAAACTTTAAGCCTCTAGCTTGGAGTGCCCTATATTCTACTGGGAACGTGAATGATCAAAAACAAACATAAAATATTCTTATATCAGATGAATTCGATTAAATATTTAAAATTTATACCTCTGTCTGGGACTTAATAATAATATAACAGTAGTAATAACAACATAATCTTAGATACGTACATTACGTAACTTATTCAAAGTTGGGTTGACACAAAAACTTTAAAAGATCTCGACTTTATGGATGATTTATGTCGAAAGTCGCATGAATCCAGGCGAAAACCAATAAGTCTACGGACTCGGTTAATGAAGACGAAATTTCAAATTAACACAGAGAAGACGGAAGTGATGAAGAAAACCAACCAACAACGACAAGAATCAGTCAGTGTCAAGGATAAAAAACCTAGAGGAATTCACCTCTTTCACTCATCTAGACAGTATTATTTCAATTAGAGGCTGCAAAGGTGAAGTTGTCCAAAGCAGGATCGGTTTGCAAAGGCAGGACACACCTTCTTAAATCTGGCATTAGTTCACTCAGCATAATGAACAAGGTCACATAAATCTATACTAATGTCAAGTCAGTAGATGTTTTCATATGGTTGAGAAAACAGGCACGATACTGAACCTATTCTAGACAGGCAAATGTACACTTTCATCAACAGCTGCCTTCGCTCTATGCGGACTACAAGGTAGTCGACTGGCAAGGATAAGCAACGAGCCAACCAAAAACCTGTCACCTAACAAATAAATGGACTAAACATACACTGAGTGACACCACTCGCCTGACAGGTCCTTGAGTGGAAGGCGAATGGAAAAATTTGAGTTGGAAATGAGTGTGATAGTGACATAGAATGAGATAATCTGACAATACGGAAATTGAAGCTTATGGGAAATTGTACAACCAGATATAAAAGGGAATTCAGAGAACACAATGAGATAACGATGTGCTGTTGAAGCCATATACTCCACTCAGAAACCAAAATATGAATAATAATAATAATAATTACAATGAAAACAGGCAAAAAGAAATGATGTCTTACCGTTACTGTTGAATTCAAACGCGTTAAAACAGCACCAAATAATAATGATAGTAAGAGTAGGGTGTGACGCCTTTTATACTTTTCATGCTGCCATGTTTGTTTGCCCTTGACCAGTAAAAAACGAGAGATCATGTTATCCGTTGTTTTTGTTGTTCTCATCGTCAACATCATTGTCCTTACATGAAAAATCAAAAAAAAAATTTACTAATTCCATTTCTTGTTATAATAACCTTAAGAGCATAAAGTACATGAACAAAAGCATATCTATCACCATAGCAACCAGAAAATATAGTACACGTTCTAACATGATCAGTAGCAGAAATAGATACTAGATATACGCACACACACACATACCCATCTACTTGGTCAACTTAAGACCTTAAAATGTACTTTAAATAAATATCTTTCTTTTTTATTAATTAGTAAGTTTCTCTTTTTTTTCTTATCTTGTTCTTAATCTGCTTAAATTCATGTTTTGTCAGTCAAGACTCAGGGTACTTAATTGTCATCGTAGTCGTTTTCTCTTTCCTCTGTGTTCATTCATGTTCATCTAATCTAAATTTAATAAAAATTTCAGGTTAGTCTTGATCAACAAGTCGATAACTATTTAAAACTATGGAACACCGAACACTTGGTTAGTCCTTAGTTTGGGACTGACTAACACTACAGCAAGCGTTGTGTGGGTTCAGTTCTCGACCGACGTGCACTCATATACCTCACCTGGCTCCCTACCTGGCTATTATTATTTCCTTTAATTCCTAGAGGAACATAGGGCTTCAGCCGCCCAAGTCTCCATTGTCTTCGGTTCTCTGCCAACGTTTTCATCTGGCTCCAAGTCTGCTCACATCCTTTCATCTGCTCTTAACATGACCTCCTCCAAGTCACCCTCTCACTGACGACAAACTCGCCGCTTTCCGTTCAGGTACCACTCGAGTGGTGGTCTGGCGTGTGATGTCACTTGATGGTTTCCTCAGAGTATGACCAATCCATCTCCATTTCTTCCTGTCTATTTGTTTCACAATCGGTTCCTCGTTGGCTTGCTCCTAGGGATCCCTGTTGCTGATCTTTTCTGGCCGGCCATCTGATCTTGAGCAGTAGTGAGTGAGGCCAGCTGTTGATGCAGGTCTGAAGTTTGTTTGAGATGCTCTTTATGACGCGCCAAATCTCTGATCCGTATGGTGAGTAGCACTGACTTCACATTGGAGTTGAAAGTCTGGGTCTTATTATATTCATGTTGACTGCTGTTGACCTCCACACAGACTTGAGAGTAATGAAAGCTTGTCTTGCTTTCCCGATGATCCTCGCTTTGATATCCTCGTCAGCTCCGCCAGTAGTTGAGACAATGCTTCCCAGGTAGGTGGGTGGGTAAAGGAGGTTGTTTCTTCCAGGTTCCTCCCATTTATGCCGGCTGATTGTTGTCTGTTGTTGTTGCTGTTGTTGGTGTTGGCCAGGAATCTACGTCACCTCTGTTTTCTATATGTTCACCCGAAGTCCTATCTTCTCTGGATGCTTCTTCCATCGCCAACTTGTTGCTTTTCACTTGCATATCTTCCAGTTTGTGTGAAATCAAACACATATCATCGGCGAAGTCCAGATCCTCCAAGTTCCTTTTTGTGTGTGGGTCCCTCTTATGCCTGTTTCCTTATAGCCCGCTGTTTGTCGCATGATCCAATCTACTGCAATCAGGAAAGTCATTGGCGATAGTAGACAGCCAGCCAGCTTGTCTTACTCCCACCCTCACTTCGAAGGCTTCCGTAAGTTTACCGTTGTGGATTACTTGTCATGCAGCATTGTCGTACAACTGTTGGATGAGATGTATAGTTGTCGGCGGCACCCCATAGTAGCGAAGTAGTTTCCGAATGACCTCTGTGTCGACGCTGCACTATCGGAGGCCTTTTCAAAGTTTATGAAGTTGAGTGAGATATAGAGGTGACTTCCATTCCATGCTCTGTTCAATGATGATCCGTAGTGTGGCGATTTAATTGATGCGTGACTTGTTTCTCCTGAATTCAGCCTGTTCCGGTCGAAGTTTTTCATCCAGGGCGGCTTAGTATTTTGCTTGGGATGGTTATAGGCCTGAGAAAGAATGATGGCTGGAGTTCGAACTAGCACTGTTATGGTGTAACAAAAACCACCAACACTACTGAAACTTTAGAATTGAAAGCTTGATGCCGGGTGAACGTAAAGGAATGTAACAAAATTGTCTTGTCGAACTAATAAATCATTTTGCTTTTTGTAAAAAATTATATTTGTAAAATCTCAGAGATATTGAAATGAGTAATTTCAACGTTTCGTTTGGCAATCTGGTCAGAACTTCTTCTGTTTTACAAATGTCTACTTCTCACTGGGCTCCTAAATATTTTAGAACTATTCTGTCAAATCTTGACTACAGTTCATTTGATTCATTTTGCTTTTTGTTTCATAAGAAGGTTTCCAAACTTTTTCTTTTTTGGCTAGAACTCTGCTCCTGAATGTTCTTAAAAATCATTAACATATAGTGAGAAGAAATTGCTCACTTACGATTAGCAGCTAAAATTGTTTAACACAAACAGTGAAGTGTGCTTCTTATAACCCAGTATGTTTCACATCCAGACATTATTGTATAATTTAGTAATATCACGTTTTGCTTGATTTGTAGCGGTCCCATTGGTATGTCACAAACTGAAGCACTGAAAGAGAGCAGAGAGAAGTGTACGGCTGTTTTACCCAGGTTTAGGACTATTATCCTACAGGAACCTTGAAATTCCTTAAGTGGATAGAACTCACCACATTCAGGTGACAAGGCAAGCACGTTATCATCGATTTAGTCAGAATGAACACCACTGAATCTAACATATCGAGTGTCAAGACAGACACTTATCCACAACGCCTACCGGCACTGTGGCCCAAAATCTTTATTAGGCAGCAGCTGATTTTCACAGGCCATTGACAGGATTTTGATGTGGTTGTGTTCTCTTAGCTGGATTGTTGTCCTACTAGTAGGCAACATCTTCAGTGCATACTTCAATCTGAAGCGAGCTTTTAGATTTCTCCACGAGTTTATTGATCATCTCTCCCGGCAACCATGAACTTGATTGATTCTTCGTGTGTTTTCACATCTTCTAGGCCACTTGTATCGGAACTGATTGTTTCCTTGATTTGACCTTTGCCCCTTAGTACGTGAGATTTTCCTTCTTATCGGTTGGTAAATTTTGTCTATCTCGATGTGTTTATTGATTGACGATTCACTGGAATACCAGGTAGGCTTCTAAAAATTCTCTAGCATTCATGGTGTTGTTTCCTCTGTCTAATAGTTGAACGCTGGTTGTCCCAGTCGAATTGATGTTCGTGGTTGTCTGTATTCAGTGAGACGATATGAAGGAGTGAATGTCATGTCTTTTGACGGCTAGGTTATGATCATGGATACGAAGACTAACAGGGATGAATTTTCTTCTGTTCTTTGATGATGGTATCTTGTTGGTGTTATGATTCAATTTAAAACACTTTTTGATAAAATTTTATGGATAACCATTCTTTTTGGAGACCGTTAGTAGGTATTTTTCTTCCATTCTTTTCAACGCTGGAGTGCTACAGTGTGTTTGAATTCTTTTAAACAATGTCTGCACACAGTTTCTTTTGTGAGTAATTGGATTATTGCTAGTATAGTTGAATATTTGATCTGTGCAAGTGCGTTGATGTTCTATATACTTGTGTTTCTAAATTTCCTGTGTTAGTTCTCATGATTAAGACATCTAAAACTGGGATTTTGCTATCTAATTCTTCTTCTCCTCTTGTGAATTTGTTGTCTTCAAATGTGTTGTTTATTAATTTATGGGTATATTCTAAATCGTTTCTTTTAATTATTACGAATATATCACCAACGTAACGCGCCCTGACTTTTGGTTTATTTGTAGGCGGAGCTATTAATTCTAATCATTGCATGACGGCTTCAGCTATTAATCCTGATATGGGTGATCTCATTGGTGTTCCTTTTATCTGTTGATATATTTGAGTATTGAACTAGAAGTATGTTCTAAGGCATTATGCTATGAGTTCTATCCAAGTTGAACATTGCGTTTTTATGTTTTCATCACTATAGAGTAATTGTTGCATAGTTTCCGTTGCTAGTTTCGGACTAATTGAAGTATATAATGCTGTGACATCAAAGAACACGATTATTTTGTATTTTCAATGGGATTTCACTTTGATCAATGTAGTTTGCAAACAACGAATCTGAATCTATGTATAATCCTATCATTCAGATAAGTGGTCAGAATTCCAACATTGTGAAGTGATTCAGTCCTATCAAGTGAGTTAATCCTGCTACACTTCTGCTCATCCCTTCATCTTAAGGTTTAATCACAAAGTATTTTGTGTTTAGGTCATTTGATTATGTCTTACAAGTACAGATGGTGGACAGTAGTGGTGGCTTCCAACTACTCATATCTACTTATCAGTAATATATATATACAGCATCATGCAAAAAAAACTGTGGTCATATGAAAAGTAAGATAATGTGAAACAAAAATCTTCATCAGATTCACATACCCATTAAAAATTTACAATCGTATAAAAACGAAAAACATTTATCACGTCAATATAACAATTTCGACTAAGACTGATAGCAGAGAAACGCATTTCTTCACTGCGCATCATACTTAGTTTAGGGTTTTAGAATGATGTTGAAGCACGGATATAAACGGATTTGTTTATATTAATGCCTTAAAAGCTGACTGCATAACTAACTGACCAACTGACGGCTTTATTCCTGCCTTCAAGATAAGCATTTATGTGTAACCACCCAAAATGTCACATTTGATGTGAGACTAATTCTAGATTACAATGAATTTATCACTATGTAACGTCTTTTCTAATAACGTATATTATAGTCTTCTGAGGACAGTTAGAGTTTACAATAACAATCAGTCATTATCATAAAAGCCAACAAAACTTTATCTGAATTAAGTCGCATAGTAACGGTACAAAATCATTTTGAAGTATATTTTTATCACTTCATGGTATCAATGAGAGGACTAATGCAAGCCTAAGAAACCCTGGGCGTCTGATTTGTGCTTTAGTCTGAGACTCTTCTAAATCACTCCTTAAGGATTCTAGAGACGATGAAGTCGAGGACGGATAGCAATAACTTCCAAATCCTGCCAATTCACGTTACAGATAGCAGCAGCAGCAACCTGGCAAGCGCTAACCGGTCACCACTTATAAATTAACTTTGAAAACTCAATCTTGTAGTCAGTTAGTAGTGAACATATTCGCTTGCAGTTACAGACTTTTCTGACATTAAGAAGTGCGAGATTTAAACTGCAGTTAGACCCGTGAACTAGAATATAAGACTGTAAATATCTAAATCAAAGATTTTGAGAATTTCATGGAATAATTTGACCGTTCAGACACACCAAACCATTATAAAATTACTTAAAAAGTAATCTTAGCGTCCATTAAAGATAAGATTTTATTTTGATAAATCGCACAGTGTCGTACAGTAATATTAACTGATGATGTTTCGAGCACAAACTGTTGCTCATATTCATATCAATAATTTGTGCTCGAAATGTGGTCATCAGTTAATATTACTGTATAACACTGTGTGACAGTTTATCAAAATAAAATCTTATCCATAATGGAGTTATGCTCGACCACAGTATACTATTATTATTCCTTTGAGTTCCCAGTGGAATATAGGGCTTCAACAACACATCTCCACTTTATTCTGTTTTCTGCTGCCGTCTTCAGCTGGGTCCACGACTGATCAAACTCTGTCATCTCTTCTTCACACTATATCCTTCATGTCACCCTAGGACGACCTACTCGTCACTTCCACTTGAGGGCCTGGTGTGCGATATCATTTGCCGACCCCTTTATTATATGCTTGATCCATCTCCAATTTCACCTACAAATTTGTTGAGCAATCAACTCTTGGTTGGTTTGTTTCCAGCCAGCCAGCCTTTCTTCTTGCTTATTCTTTCTGGCCGTTTGGTCTTCAGTATGGAGCCGGTCAGCGAAGTTGGAAGCTGTTGATAAAAGTCTACAACCCATTGGAAATCGTTTTCGTTACACACTGGTTTCTGGCTTATATAGAACAACTGACTTGACATTGGTGGTGAACATCTGAATCTTGTTCATCATGCTGAGTGCGGAAGATTTCCAAACTGGTTTCAGGTTGATGAAGGCGTATCTGGTCTTTCCGAAGGTGACTTTGATATCTTCATCCGTTCCGCCTTTAGTTGAAATGATGCTTCCCAGATAAGTGAAGGAGTCAACGTCTATTAAATCTCTCCCGTTGACGGTGATTGGTGCTGGTTGTTGTCGCTGTTGGTTGGTTGGTTGATTACCTTCATCACCTCTGTCTTCTCTGTGTTCACCTGCAACCTTATCTTCACCTGCTCCTTCAGCCAGTTTGTCGGTTTTCCCTTGCAAGTCGGTGCGTTGGTGGCACAGTGGTTAGGACTCTCGCCGACCATGCACATGGTCCGAGATTAGTTCTCCTGATGACGAACACCTGGTATCTACGGTCGGCCTGCAAAATTTGGGCTACCGATATCACATGCTGAAAATTCCATACTTGTAGCAAAAATACGGTGTGGAATCAAGATGTAATCAAAAAATTTTTCTGTGACATTAGACACATAGCATCTGCGAAATCCAGATCCTATAGAGTCTTTTTATCGGTGGTCCAGCGTATTCCTGACTCCTCAACCTCAACAGTCTGACGCATAATCCAGTCCACAACAATTAAGAATATCATCGGTGATAATAGTAAGTCAGCTTGTCTTACTCCTGTATGCACTTTGAACACCTCGCTAAGTTTTTGTTGTGGATCACTAGACACGTGCCACTGTCATATAGCTGTTGAACGAGGTTGACAAAGGCTTGAGGTATGTCACAGTGTTGAAGTAGTTTCCGAATTACTTCTCGATCTACGCTGTTGAAGGCCTTTTCGAAGTCGATGAAGTTGAGGTGAAGGATTGACCGCCATTCTATGCTTTGTTCTTTGATGACGATGTGTAGAGTTGCAGTTTGATCAGCACATGATTTGCCTTTCCTAAATTCACCTTGTTACGAGTCGGCTGAGTTCTGTATCCAGTGCATCCTTTAATTTCTCAAGGATGATGTGACTTAGTATTTTACTAGACGTGGATAGAAGCGTTATTCCACGCCACTTCTTACACAGGCATAAGTCACCCTTCTCTGACAGTTTGACGAGGTAGCCCTTCCTCCAATCAGTAGGCACCTTTCCTCATTTGCAAACGTTTTGCAGTAATGGAGTGGGAACATCAGCCGTAATCCCTGGAGCCATCTTCAGTGCTTTGTAGGGATGCCGTTTGGTCCTCCTTCTTTCTCGGCCAATGTTCAGTAGCTTGATCGCATTCAGGATTTCTTCTTTCGTTGAAAGAGTGCTATTCACTGGCAGGTATTTCCATGTGTGCTGTTGGTACTATATTACCCAATTTTCATACTTATGTCATTAATCTTAGCGTGCTTGAAAGAATATTTTTCCGAATGTTGCGCTATGCAAACCCCAAAGTGTTCAACAAAATTACTGAGATTATTTAATTAAATTTTAGATTTTCCCTTAGATTAATTGAACCGAAGTGCTCTGTTTCAGGCTGACATGTCGGCTTCTTGTGCAGATGCCTCGACGACGTCTGAGTATGTAATTAATTCGTGGATGGTAATTAAAGCTTTGGCGTTTTAACTACTGTCGGTGGCACGGATTTGAATGTGAAGGCCAGCATCAGGCATCCATCACTGTTAAATCAGTATGGAGATCCACAGCACTCAAAAGAGCCTACAAGATCAAAATTCTGTTTACCGCAAATGTCAGGCGAGTAAGTTGTTCTGTATGGTTCACAGACTTGGTGAGCACATCACCAAGAGGATTTCCAACCGGCGCTTGAAGACTTTTATCAACAACACTCGTCCCATTCTTGACACTGAAGACCAAATATTCAGCTGAAAAGCTAAGGAGCAAGGAATTTCGGCAACGAATCAGTTATCAAACTACTGCATAAGAAGTATGTATAAGGAGACAGAGACGGATTAGACATAGTCTGAGGAGATATATAGGTGGAATCACACGCCAAGATGCCCTTCAAGTGGGACGCGAATAGAAAGGGACGATATGGGCAGAAGAAATCAAAGGTTGTGGTCAATCTTCATGATGTTTTTAAATGACGACAAAGAGCTGTATAAAGCTGAAATACAGCTGGAACGCAAAGGATGAATACTAATTGTATGTCTAATAGTTTATGACTTCAAATGACCAACCACAGATTACTTAGTGTAAATTAAACTAGAAATGATTGTTTTATACGGAAGATAGAGAAATGCAACGGCATAACACGATATAACTTCAGTGAAGTGGGAGGATATGAGTTCGACAGAATATTTAAAATCCTTGTTCGAGAAGAGCTATCTGATATACGATATAGTATTGACATATTAAATCTGAAGACTACTGTAATTACATTTGAGTAGGTAGATGGTAGGTGGTAATAATAATGACTTGCATTTCCCTTTAATTAATTAATTATCGGTTTTCGCTTGTAAGTCTTCGACTTTGTGTGACATCAAACACTTTATTTTTATTTTTGATTACAGCTTGATTCCACACCGTATATTATGGTACAATTATGGAATTTTCAGCATGGATATCTGTAGCCCAAATTTTGCAGGCCGACCGTAGATATCAGGTGTTCGTCGTCAGGAGAACGAACCTCGGACCATGTGCATGGTCGGCGAGAGTCCTAACCACTGTGCCACCGACGCACGCGAAAAACCCAGGTCTTCTAGGTTCTTCACATCGGTCCAGAATATCCCTGTCTCCTGGTTTCTCACTGTCTGACGCATAATCGAGACCACCACAATTAGGAATATCACTGGTGATAATTAGTACCCTTGGCTGTCTCCTGTGTTTACTCCAAACGCCTCACTGAGTTTCCCAATGTGGAACAAGCCAATAGTTTACTGAAACTAAATTAGGTGTCAGTCAGCCTCTCTCCAAAGGTGTAACTTCGATTCCGGGCTTATGGATTCATAAATCTCAAGCAGTTCAATAGCCGACAATAACCCTTGAAATCAGGAAGGAATTTTGGGTGTGAGGCTAGAAGCCGCATCCAGTGAAGAATACACCATAGCCACTAAACCTTTAAAGCTTTAGCTTGAATCCTAGTGTCCCCATCGGAAATACAAAAATGAAAAAGAACTGAATATCACAGTAATCTGATTCTTGTTTTAATTGGATTAGAAAAGGAAAGTGTTTGGCACATGATACGATTCATTCACAATTATCATACTCATGTTACATTCATATTACGCGCATTATATAAAATCTGGTTAATTTGTCTTAGCAAACTGTTTTTTTAAAAAAGAAATCAAATAAGAATTTGAGAAAACGGAAAAGCAGAAATGAAAACAAAATTGAGCGATGAAAGTTTTAACACCACATGATTGTTCCTTTCTTTGTGTGCCTAAAGCCAACTCGCACTAAGTTAGGCTAATTAACAGTTTTTCGCTTCAAATAACTTTTCACTGTAACGGCATTCACAAGAATAAAAAAATAAGCTAGTTGAATATTGAATATTAAAAATATTGTTGTAAACCAATAATATTCACTTGACGTGCTTCCATCAGATAATGCTGTCACTGATAAAGATGAACAAATAATTTCCGTAAATATTTGCATTGAGCCTAGAACATAATCTTGCTGGTCAACTTCAATGGAATGACCGCCTTGCAGAGTTTGAGCTGTAATACTCAAGAACTGTAAAAGTAACAAGTAAAGTAAGGAAGCAGAATTTGACTATTTGTCGACAAAATTATTTTTTTTTTTGGGGTCTAGAATGTCTGTTGGGAATTATTTTAGTGAAATACCAGTAGGAACTACGAATCGGTGAGTGAAATTCCTTCTGTTGCTTACTTATTTTCGATAACTTCTTCTTCTTCAGGCTCTACAGTTATAAATCCATGAATAATAGAGTACATATAGCCAGTAAAGGCAAGTGAAAATAATATCAGAAATTGTATTGGGGTGCATGTGTAAGTTGAGGTGATAGTCCATTAGATAGCATAGTCAATTAAATGTGTATATGGGGTGTTTAGTCTCTTTGTCTTTAACTTTATACTACTTATTACCAGTAAGTAGCCAATTTCTTAATGAGTTGAAATTTACCAAACTTACTCTTACAGCATTATACTTGGTCTGGCATAGTCATCTTTGCATAGGTAAAACGGCTTGCACTACAATTTTCCCCTTTATATTTTTACCTTGTGCTGAACACGATTTATTCGAATCTCTTCATTCTTCTTGATCTGTCCATTCCTTCTTTGTTTATTTGTTGACCCACATCAATTTTGACACAGCTTTGCATTTTTTGGATTGGGGGCGAGGGTGTATTCTATTTACTTCATTCAACAGCGTAATATGATACCGTATTTTAGACAAATCCTGTGTAATACTGGATTTAACGTTTAACTTAAACGTCCGCTTCAATTAAATGAGAGTTCGATTACGAATTTTTTTCATGTTGTTTTGAAGTTTCTGTAGCAACTGGGTTGATTTTTCAACGTGGGGTCACCAGCCTCTGCCCAAACATCCTTATTTTTCTTGGTTAGCTAGTCAACTAAACATCTTCAGCGCATACTTCAGTTTGCGAATTTTCTATATATATACCAACAAGCTTACTAACACCTGTAATTCATTTCTTTCATCATTGCGTCCATTCAATTACGTAATACTAGTCGTCGGAATCTTCTTAATAAATAATAATAGATGAAGCGTCGGTGGCACAGGGGTTAGGACGCTCGCCGACCATGCACACTGTCAGGGGTTCGATCCCCGGCCGATGGCCCCTTTACCTCGCTAAGCCAGTAGTGAGACTGGTGAAGAGGGAAGGTTGGGCATGAGGCTAGCAACCCCATCCTGTAAAAATAAACACTGTTACAGAAACTTCAAGCCTTCTAGCTTGAGGCCCTATGTTCCACTGGGAACGTGAAGGAGAAAAAAAAGTATAAATGTGTATTTATAACAAATGGAAGGGAAAGTTCCAGAACAATTTCTGGTCAAAGGTCAGATTAATAAAACTACAATTAGGGATTAAAATGCCACAATAAACAGAGGGGAAAGATAAACCTCAAACAAAGTAGCACCATAATTACTGAGAAAATTGACATATTGTGCGATTGGAGGTTAGAAGTGTAGAAATAACAAAAATAGACAGGGTGTTTGGATAATAAAATCTAGTGGGATGATGACTAACTTGACGAATAATTGTTTATGCAATCAGGAATTAAATATGTAGAAATAATAAAATGACAAAATAAACTGGAAGTTCGGATATGAAAATATGGTAGTGTAAAAAGGGGTTAAAAATAACTTAAAAACTTAAATACCTAATTGCATAAACAATTATTCGTCAAGTTGGTCATCATCCCACTAGATTTTATTATCCAAACATCCTGTCTGTCTATTGTTGTTATTTCTACATTTCTAACCTCCAATCGCACAATATGTCAATTTTCTCAGTAATTATGATGCTACTTTGTTTGAGGCTTATCTTTCCCCCCTGTTTATTGTGGCGTTTTAATTCCTAATTTTAATTTTATTAATTTAACCCTTGACCAGAAATTATTCTGGAACTTTCCTACTTATTTATTATAAATACACGAATGTGCAGCCTAGTTGATGATTTCGTGGAAAAGAAAATTTTCTTCGCTGCAACTGTCTTTTTTTAATAATTCCTATGATCCAATGTGCACATTCCGTGAATTAAAGTACATGGAAAATTTTGCATAACAATGTCGTAACTGTTTGAAGCTACTTGTAATCGGTAAGAACCGACGAAAACAAAATGGCACCGAGTAATCTCGCTCAGTTTGTTGTTCAGGTTTAGTTCAAGCTCATCATCAAGAGGATCAACTGCATGAGATGACAGTAGTCAATATTATTCATGTAATGGGTGGCGCTTGAAAATAATAGAAGTAACAGCAGTAGTGTGATTTGTAGTACTAGCACTGAATATTTAAACGTTAGACATCCAAGTGGTAAAAACGCACCGATGACATCCTAACCCCAATGTACTCTTAATTAATCCTAATATAACTCTGTTTAGATTAACTTAGAGCCCTAACCTATCCTAAGTCAAAACCTTAGCTTAATCTCTCTTTGACCTTATCTTAAACTAAAAAGATATGCTGTTGAATATTGTCACATTTCATTCAACAGTTTTTTTCCATGATCATTGGTGAGTCTGTGCCTGTTGGGTGCTTAATTCTAACTTCACCAGTAGAAGTATTGTGGTGGCGCGATACAGACAGTGTGTTCCAACGGAATATTATTCTCACATATTCCGATATTTCAATACTGCATTAGCAACAGAATACTATATGTATGTATTCGAACATTCTATTTCCCGTCCTTTAATGTAAACCAAAATTACACGCTCAGCTGAAAATATACCTTGGGTTCCGCGTCTTGGCTTCTGCTGTTAGTTAGTATTAGTCTTAGTAGTTTGCCGAAACCAAAGTCAAAAATTATTACCAACTTCTTCATCAGTTGCGTCACAATTATAAATACGTTTTTCTCGGTGTTCAAGTTCCACTCCAGATTGACCCAATCTCCGGTTGACTGGTTAGTCCTATAAATTAGTGTTCAATTCTATATTAAAGCTTTAAGCTTTGAATTTCCCGTAATCATCGTGTTGTTACTCCCTTTACAAGCTGGTGGTTGCTAGCCTGTTGACTAACATTCCTCCCATTCCAGCCCTACAATTGACTAGTAAAATAGGTGAGGTTTTTAGGAGTTCATCTGCTAAGAATTGAACTTCAGCCTCCCTCGTGGTTGTTGATCACTGTACAGGTGAACCAGGCGTGCATTTAAATTAGTACATGTACCGGAATGATCCATATTGGAATCCCTCTATGAACAATCTATTCAAGACACTGAGACTTATTTGAATACTTCAGCTAACTTTGTAATTATTCCCCTGTCTCCCTTGACCTGTATATGATCCTTCTAACATTTGCATGCCTCCTTTTTTACCCCAGCTTTCGGTTTATCCCTCTTTTTAGTGCTTCTCTTTACTGTTGTGTGATGGTGTTGATTATAATGCATATTTTCACACCTGGGATTTTGCTTCAGTGAGATCAAGGTTAAGGCATGAAGTGACTGGTTGACCCTGGACTTCCAGTGGAAAACGTGATTTGCTCCTTTTAATTCTTGCAGACAGAGTTTTGATACTACCTTGGTGGGAGTATTCTGACTGATTCCCAGATCTCTAATACTTGTTTCTGTTCACCTAACTTATCTATGCAGTATTTATTGTGCACCTGGACCGTATAGCTACCAGACGGCATTGTTACAGTAGTTTTGTACTCTTGATATTACTTATTTTTGTTAAAAGGTACCACACATTATACCATATTAAACTATCATTTTGGTATTGTTGAAGTGTAGTTTCAGACTGTAAATCTCTCGTAGAAGCTTGGCAAGCTATACAGAAGAACGTATCGGTTGGCTTCCTAAGCTCGGTCCAAAATATTTGTGTTTTGATTATTACACTGTACGCCTTCTATGACTACATAATATATATATATATATCAACCTCGCCTAGACTATTAGCTTGCTAGTTTTCTAGCCGGTCCCAAGCCCGGATAAAGAGGGAGGGTTGGGGCGTGGTGCTAGCAATTCCATCCGCAAAACTTAACCAAACTGCCACAGAAACTTCAACACACAGACCAAATTGCAACTCTACGCATCATCATCACAGAACAAAGCATGGAATGGCAATCAAACCTCTACCTCAACTTTATAGACTTTGAGAAGGCCTTCGACAGCGTTGGCCGCGAAATAATTTGGAAACTACTCAAGAACTATGGCGTACCCAAAATATTCATCAGCTTTACTCAACAGCTGTACGACAACTGCACATTTCAAGTAATCCCCAACGGAAAACAGCGAGGCGTTTGGAGTAAACACAGGAGTCAGACAAGGGTGCTGACCTGCATTTCGTACGAGGATGATATATGTTTGATGTCACACACAGAAAATCGAAGACTTACAAGTGAAAACTGACAAACTGGTCGAAGAAGCAGCCGGCGAAGACAGGGCTCCAGGTGAACATAGACAAGACGGGGGTTGTGAAAATAACCAACCACCACCATAACCAACAACAACAACAACAGCAACATCCAGCGCCAATCACCATCAACGGAAAAGACTTGAAAGACGTCACTTCATTCACTCACTTATCTAGGGAGCATTGTCTCAACTACAGACAGTCGGAACGGACGAGGATGTCAAATCGCGTGAGAATCGGGAAGGCGAGGAACACATTCATCAACCTGACACCAATCTGGAAATCCTCGTCACTCACCATCAACAACAAAATTCACCCGGATTTTCAATACAAACGTCGAGTCAGTCAGCTCTTCTATGCGGATCAGAAACTTGGCGGGCGGGTCACAAAGAATATTTCCAACAGCCTGTTGCAGACGTTACCTTTATCAAAAACCAACTGTCTTCGCTGGCTCTATACTGAAGACCAGATGACCGGGTCGGAAAGAATCACCAACAAGAAACTATGGGAATAACCAACAAAACAAGAACCAATCGCCAACCAACAAATATGCAGGAGAAAGTGGATTGAGATGGATTGGACACTCGCTCGCTGAGGAGGCCGCCGCTGGGTGGCATCGCGCGCGTCAGGCCATTTCTCAAGTGGAACTAGGCCGAAAGGAAATCACGCGGCGAGTTGGATGTCAGTGGAAGGGTGATATGGAGGAGATCGTGTGAAGGGGAGTTGAATCAGTATGGACTAACATGGATGCAGGTGAAAAGGTACAGCAGAAGACAGAAGCAGGCAAATGGATACGTGCAGTTGAAGCCCTATGTTCCACCAGGAACCCAAGGGAGCAATAAACAATATATATATATATATATCACATACATAAAATGTAGTTAATTCTTACGGAAAGACTTACAAATAGAAAGTGTATTGAGGCGAATGCCATAAACACTTTAGTTAACATCTGTTTTGGAGTTAAAATGAATCGACAAGAAAGAATGAGATACGGTTGGGAGAAATGATGATTACATCATATGATAATTTGTTTGTGATAAAAACTTACAATGATACAAATACCACCTAATTACTGATTACCCCTCATATATAATATTTTTTCCGCGTACTCCTTTCATGCTGGTCACATAACTTTCCAAATTGGCAGCAGTGTTTGTAAAAACCTTTGAAGACAAAAGTATTGAAATGTAACAAATAAAAGCATTGGTGATGAATAAATATCCCATAAAATTCAGTAGAAGCATCCGAAAAGCTCACAGTAGGGGAAAGATAGTAGTGAAACTAGTGATTCTAACATAAATAAGAGATAATTTAAGGAATCAACAGTTTTACCGTTTAATTGGGGGCATCTGAAACCCTACTGAATAATCTTAGGACAGCAAGAATTAAGGTATCATTTAGACTGACGAAGTCACTCATTGACAATCTCTGTGGACCCAATAATTAAAATAACTTGAGCAGCTTATAGAAAGCAAAGTAACCTTTGTTAGGTGGTCGGAGACTATCGACAGGAAGCTCTGGACTTAGGTTTTGTGCTTGTTTGCTCTCCTCAGCAGAGTATGCTAGAAACCAGGAAGAAACTAGTGTCTCTCTGAAATTCGAACCCTCGCCACTCCCTGATGCATTCAGGGACATTACCATTGCCGTCTGTGTTTGCACGACTGACTTCCAGAATGAATGTAGTGGATACACTCGTTAGACGCTAAGGTGTAAACAACGTCACACATTTAGTCCTTGGTGTTGGTGGAAACTTGATCTTTGTGGAGACATCAGTCTCCTCGAGTTTGGTGATGCACTCATATGGCAAGCACCAACAAGAACGAAAGCCTGATCAGGTAGGGACTAGATGCATGACTATGGTTATTCCTTAGTGATCGATCAACGTACACTTATCGATCAAAATGCATTCACTAAGAGACCGTCGCAAGATAGAGTGGTATAGAGCTACCGCCTGAGAGATAATATGGTTACGTGGAGACTGAGATTGACCACTTAATCTTCGTTCACTGAATCTATGTACTACACATATAATGAGAACGAGGCAATACCGACACCTAAGACATGGAAAACAGTATTATTAATTAAGCGATAAGAAATAATGGAATTATACAAAAAGAGCCCGGAGGTTATGTGAGCACCTTGATATGATTCTGAGCTATAAGCTGTACTGGAAAGGCCATCAGCAAATACTATTGTATCCCTGTGAGTTACTGTCAAATAAAACCATTGTGCAATGGATTTATACTGTCCCACAGTGGCGAAATTCCGTCCTTATATTAATTAATTACATTTTCAGCTGTCTAAAATTTGTTTATTTGCTTACTTGTGAATTCCATTATGGATAAGGTTTTATTTTCATAAATCACACAGTGTTATACAGTAATATTAAGTGATGACCATGTTTCGAGCACAAACTATTGCCAGTCATAATCATATCAAGTCACTCACACAACTTCTCCCCTTCATTTATATACATGTGTGGAATAGATCTTGAAATAAAAATCAATGTAGGGTAACGTACATTCAGAATTATTAATATGAGTGTTATTGATCAAATACAATCAGATGGGAAATAAGACGAGTGTTTCTTTTATAGTCATAATAAGTTACTTGTTAGAATGTTGTGATGTGCTTGAATTGAAATAGAATTTTGAGATTATTCATTATCCTCCTCTGTTTTGACTGGTGGTGATAATATCTTCCATATTTCTGATATTTGCATTGAGTCATTTCTGTTTCATGTTTTGGGTGAAGACTACCCGATGAACAAGGATTCAATAATCAACCTCTCTCTCCACCTACATAGATTACTTCTTAGAATCTTAACCCTCTCCCACCCTATTGTGTGGTTGCGTGTTCATTCATGTAGTGCAATTGCTGAGGTCTTTTCTAAATTACTTATCTTCTCTGGGTCAACCATTCTTACCTTAGCTAAATTCTTATGTTCCGACAATCTGACTACCCCTGACCTACTAGTTTGACCTATGTAGTTGACCTCACACTGTGAGGTAACACTGTCAGACTTTATCAAAACAAATTTTGCCAATAATGGAATTACACTCTATCACAGTGCACAAGTTTTATTCTTATATCAATTCCCCAAAGGCTTTTTGTCTGTGATGAAATATGCCTTGATCAATCAATCAGTCAAACTTCTACTAATCAAGACGTGAAAATTAGATTTAAAGTATTACTTCTAGAATTACGATCTGGAATCTGTGAAATTGACCGAATTTAGCTAGATTTCTTGAGTGAAAGCACACAAACAAAAGTGCTTTGCACTCCAAACCCACTCAAATATTTCAAATGACTTGTAATGAATGAAGTAACGGGATATACACATTGGATCATAGGGATTATTATAAAGACGGTTGCAGCGAAGAAAGGTTATAGGATAATCATTCTTGTTGAGACTTTTCATGATGACAACGGTATGGACAACGGTTGGAAGTATTTCTTTTGGACATATAGAGAAAGTTTGAGTTCTTGGATCGCCAGTGCTTCAGTTATTCCAAGATGTCTTGATTTCACTCCCTTTGGCAGGTTGCGTCGAATCTTGTAAATGGCTTTGAAGGACTTTTCAAATGTCCAGAATTCACCAAATGCTCTGTTATCAAACTGTATACCGCTTCGCGTTCTCCCTCTGCTAACCATGCTGGATAGTGTTTTTGCGGGCGTTTTACAAGCGGACACATAGTATGGTCAACGTACTCAGTGCCGCAAGAGCAAGTGAATTGGTGCATGTATGGTGAAGTGGCCCAGTGCGACAGTTTGCCTCACACATGTTAAGTGAATATTTTCTTGCAGGAGAACGTTATTCGTAGGCTGGCGGCGAAGTATGTTTTACTGATAGTCTTCGGAAGCCGTCTACGGAGGATTTCTGCTACGGTATCACTTTTAAATTCGGCGTTCAATATCAGCATCCTTTTGAGGAGCGACTTTGAAATTTTCAGGTGTTTTCCTTGGTTTTAGATTCTTGTCTATGAATCTGCGTAAGCAATCCATTTTCAATCTAAATCCCCTAGAGATTTTGTAATTCTTCTTCGATCGACTCTTCAGTGCGAATCTTCCAGATCGTCGAGGAAAGAGAGGCATACAGCTTTGAAAGTTGATAAACTCTTCATTCCATGTAGGCTTTTCGTATATGGATCTTCTCAGCGAGTTGTCTGCATTCCTTCTTATTCGAACGTCAAGGAAATGAAACACTGAATTAGACTGAACTTCCAGGATGAAATCGATGTTTGGTGGGCGTCACTAGATATTTGAATTAGATATTTTAGATCAAAATTCTCATCACAAATAATGAAAGTATCACCAATGAGTCCTTTGTATTGATGGAAGTCGTCGACAGTTGATGATAAGGAGTTGTTTTCTAGGCTAGCCATAAAGCAGTCAGCTAGGAGACGTCCTAAAGGGGAACCCATTGTTACGCCATCTACTTGCCTGTATATTCCCTTGTTGAAACTAAAGTATACGCTGAAGGTGCATCTTAATAACAATTCTTTTAGGTAATGGATGGGTATACCAACATCGATGCTATTGGATTTGATGTAGTCACAAAGGAAAAATACGGTTTCTGTCAATGGGATGTTGTTGAAGAGAGAGAGGATATATAAGGAGATCCTTTTCTTGCCTGCCACGTTGACTAAGTCGAATGTGTCACGGAGGTTGCTTCCACAGCCCGAGAATCTCCACCAGCCATTTCACGATTGAGTGATACGGGGAATCTATCATAGCTAGTAGTGAGCGGAGTCGGACGTCTTGTTTGTGCACTTTAGGTAAGCCGTACATACACAGCGTTTTAGAACCAGATGAACTCAGTTGCTCGTATAATTTTAGACTGATGATGCATTCGTCTTTCATCTTCTTCAATATCTTACTTAGCTGTTATGTTAAGCAGTAACAAAGTGTGAAATTGAGACGAAGAGAGTGCACATAGATTGGCAGATTAGAATTTTCTCATCTAAATTAATACATGATTTTGAGAAACTGACTATCATCAGTTAACTATTAACAAGTCAGATCTGGATCCCAGATGTTCTGATATGACAGACTAGAGAAGGAACTCCTTGAGGGTTGCAATGAGACACTACTATTGACGGTGGATTTCACTTTGTCAGGTTTGAGAAGTTATTTTCACGGATCACATTAACTGGTGGTGGCGCTGTACATTATGGTTTCACAGAAGTTAGAATACATGAAACATAGAATTCCGACCCAATAGCTGAGCAATCTATGGGCTTGTATCTTGACCTGAGGCTCCTGTGTTCTATCACGATGCAGACGTGAGGTTTATTTGTGTATGCTGCTGAAACACCTCACACTGGGAGAAAATAGCTGTCAAGCATTCATTACCCGGTTCTCAACTCTCTACATGATGTCAGTTCATAATATAATGGAACTTGAAAATAAAAAATAAATTAACAGAATACCACATAATTTGTGGATATATAAATTCTACTTACTATTTCAAAACCTTTAACCGCGAACACCACAATGAAGGCTGGCATCAATACCAATGGTATTGTAAATACATAGAAATACTGATCAAAGTAATCGGTTATATCATGTGAATATCGTGTTGTGAAGACAAAGATAACTGTCGATGTGATTAGGATAAAGAAGAATGATAAGCTTTTAGTGAATGCATCCGTTTCCGATGTTAATTGCGCCACAATAATTGAATGAAATAACGCCTAGTAAATTAAGATTAGTAGACAGGAACAACAGTAAGAAATAAACATGTAAGGTTGAAAAGAACAAAAAGTTCAGCAAAGATGACGATCTTTTCGGCGATTTCATTCTCAAAAGCAGCTGTACAATCGCACTTATATAGATCAGTTTACATGGATACAATTAGGTACATAGGTCGTTCTATGCGGGTCTTACCAAAACGTGTTAGAGAACATCATCCAGCATGGCTACAAAGAGGAGGCACTGGTTCAATCAGAAGCACAATAACTGAACACCTCGTCAAAACCTGTCACAGCATCTCAACTGACTCATCATTCACAGTCATTTACAAAGTAAACGAAAACCTACAAAAGGCAGTGTGTTTCCGGCTTCTTTGTACTGTGAAAGCTCTCATCATATGCATCGAAAAGCCGGAGCTGTGTATGCAAAAGAAACTAGTCCAGCCTTTACAACTACCATGGACCTAGTTCGGTATGTTCCCTTATCCTTCAGTTATTTTTTGTTTCGCTCTCTGTGTGTGTAATTTTCTCTCTTTGTCTACATTCAATTCATCCTATTTTTGTTTTAGTTATTAAATCGGTTATTTTAAGATTGTTTCCATGCTCCTCCTGATCACACTTGTTATCCGTTTAGAATAACCATTTTACAATTATATTCTAATCCTGTGTGATTTTTTGTTTCTGTGCCTCTTGTAATTCATATCAAGTTGAAAATAATTATCACTTATTATTCGCCTTTAAAACTATTATTTCTCCAGTTATCAAATATTAATTTTGCATACGTTGTAACTATTTTCTAATCCTATGCAATCTTGTCTCTAAGCCCTTGTAATCTATATTCGTACCTTCAAACTTTCATATCAAGTTGAAAATTATTATCTTTTACGTTACTATGTGGAATTAATTAAACAAATAATAATTGTATCCATGTAAACTAATCTATACAAATGCGATTGTACAGCTTTTTTGAATGAAACCGCCGAAAAGATCGCCATCTTTGCTGAACTTCTTGCTATTTTTAATCTAAAAATGTAAGGCACAAATTTTAGTATGCTTTAATTTAGTAGACCGTTAAGCATATTGCTAAGCTGGCTAACTGTTTACAAGATAGTTCTATGCAAACTCTGGGCTTTGTCTATAAGCTAACGGAGTATTGTCAGTATTATCGTTTCAATTGCAAGTGACCAGAATCAGTGAAGCAAGGTGGACATGCGCCACTGGGAAATCCGTTTTGAGATCTGCAGCGCTCGGTACAAGGAAGTAAGTCCATACATTGTTCATTGCTGGTTTCAAGTCAGTGCCTTTGTTTGGCGCACAGACTTGGCAGGTCTGTCTTCAAAAGTATCCCAAGCTGACTACTTTGGACTTTCATCAATACCTGCTACCTTCGTTGCCATGACACTGGGAATCAGATGATCAGTCAGAAAGGACAATCTACAGAGAACTGTAGTGGTGGACCAGAAGGAAATCAAAGTGAACTAGATATTCTGTGCAGCGACTATCAAGATAAATCACACGCCAGATGCTCAAATAGGACCTGAAAGGGAACTGACGGATTCAGCGTGGGTTTCAGAATGTGACACGGAGAGGATAATATGAACAGTCGTGTATCCATTTGAAAGTGATGACAGAAAACCGAGTGGAATAGAAATGTTCCTCTTCAAGCAATATGTCCCACTTGCGACTTAGGGAATTGATGACAATAATTACTATAACGTAGGTGACAAAACATATGCTTAAGATATTATTTTTACTCCTTCATGTTCCCAATGGAACATAGGGCTTGAAACTAAAGGTTTGAAGTTTATGGAGTTGCTAGTACCATGTCCAACCTTTCCTCTTTATCAGTCCTATTACTAGCTTAGCGAGGTAAAGAAATGCGTTGTTCGGGGATCGAACCCCTAAGCACATACGTGGTTGGCGAGCATTCTAATGCTGTGTCACCGAAACACGAGTTATCTTATGCTTAAGATAACTCGTTTTTAACTAACTTCAGAAATTTCCCTGCTAGTATATTAATTATGAACGTAATGAGGAAACCATCAATAAACTAGTTTTGATGAATGTATAGTACCTGATTCATCAAACGTCTTTGCTTCACAAGTGCATTTGCGAAGCCTTAATGAATCAGCTTGTAATCGAATAACATTTTCATGGACTATTAGCGCTTAGTGCTCTCAAAAGAGATTGAACTCAAGATTATGAGGTTCTGAGACGAGGTCACTGAACATTAAACCAGTGAGACAGAAAACAATGCCCTGTAAATTTCCATGGGTTCTATGACTGATGCAAATTTGTGGGAAGTTATAACTATCGGGTTCCACAAGGTTGTGTGTGTGTGTGTGTGTGAACGAGGCAATCACTGATGATACCTGCTTCTGGTGGCGACACGTATTACAAGTTGACAAGAGTTAGAAGTGACGTGCCATCACATTCCATTTCACTGGCTGAATGGTAAATAACCTCACCTTGTGATCAGAAGGATATTAGTTCAATGCTCGATGGGGTCAAGGTTGCGTACTGCTGAAGATTCCCAAAGCAGGAAGATGAAACGGCTATTCCACACTGGTTCAATAACTGAAATATCATGTTATTTGAATAAATTTCACGCTTCAAAAACCAAAAAAGGAAGAAAAAATAAGTCGCATTGTGATACACTTACAAAAATACTCAGTGTTATCGCGTTAAATGGGAAAAAGCGTTCAATTGTTGGGACTCTCAGTAGAATAATCACATTGTAGCCATTCACTAAGCTGAAATTGTAGGAAATAAAATGCAGGTAAGGATAGAATTTCTGTACTGAGTTACAGAATAGATTACAATATTAGATAAACTTATTTGAGATAACGCACACCGTAAAGACACAGTATTTAATTAACTGGATGACATTTCGAGCATATTTAATTGCCACTCATAGTCATAGGTGTCGTGTCACTTCGATTTCAAGTGAACGGTGTTGATTCGATGAATAAAAATTCGAGCATCAATCTCTCCCTCTGTCTTCACCTAAAAACATTACTTTTCAATACCTTTACCTCTTCTCATTGCATGCAGGTTAGGGTAATCCAATGACTTGGCTTTTTTCAGATTACTTAACAAAGCAAGATCAGGCATTCTAGATCAGACTGTAATTCGGTTGGTGATTGTAGCTGTCAGCAGAATTCACGTTGCGGGTTTCGTCCTACTTCAGGGCCCATCATTTGAACGTACTTACAACCCTCCTTCACCTCCAGAATTCATGATGTGGGTTTCATTTTATTTTGAACCCATCATCTGAATGTACCTACAACCCTCCTTCCGCTAGTGATTGGTAGCGTTTCCCAAGTGTGCCTCCAATGCATCATCCGTCATTTCGAACGCTGATGCGTTATTCACTAAGCCACTGGCCACATTCCCATGTCAATGAAGGATGGATGATATACTAATGTCTATTTATAAATAACACTATTTTTTGTGACTCAAGGCTCTCTCAAGATTGCTAAATCTTATGATAAATCCCCCATGCAATCAAAAAAAATCCCCACAAAACCAATGCTTGAAAATTACTCTGATGCTCACTAGCGACTGGCCGTATTAAGGCAGTTAACCTGGGGTTCTGGTGGGAAGCCGTGATCAGTAGGGTACAGCAGGTTGAAGATGAGGGAGTAACTCATCGAAGTAAACATTGCGAAGTGGTCGCGCTATGTTGCGAATTGGCAGAAGTTAGAATTCAAGAACCATTGGGACGGGTCCCAGTGGCTCAATGGTCTACGGGCTCGCCTTGTGACCAGAAGGACCTGGGCTCGAACTTCATTGGATGCGGCCGACAACTGCTACCTTGTCGTGGTGGTCGGGCTTGAATACCACAGTGACCCAACAAGCTGAACTGACTGGGACTCGTGTCCCTACAGGTCCTACCATGTCAGGAAGGTTGTTTGGATAGCGGTTAGACTAAAAGCAGTTACCATGTGGTACATGGGCTGCAAAAGCAAATGGGGTCAAATGGCGTATGAACCCATATGGGTCACTGGCAACCATGGAAATGCGGTTCCTGACGCTGTTCCGCTGCCTTGCGGATTAGACTCTAAGTCAAAGGCTCGGGGGATGGTCCCTCAAGAAAACCACCTGCTTCGGTCTGGGCGCCCGGGCAGTATCTTAGCCCTCACAAAACATTGTGTGGCGCATCTTTCTTGGTGCTATATTGTACCAAGTTTTTTCTACGTTTAAATAATAATAATCAGTGGATGCGTACTGCTGAAGAGTTCCAAACTAGGACGAAACAGCTGTCCAGTACTCCCTGCAGGTTTTCCAGTGGTTCTCTAACTGATGTCAGCTCATGATGAAGTATTCCATGCAATCAAACAAAATCCCTACAAAACCAATACTTGAAAAATCACATGTTTTCTAGATAAACACACAAAATTTAAATAAACACTTCCTAAATAAACTTACCCTAAAAAGTACATTAACCAGAGATGTCCACCTATCCATTGTTTTATAACTGAACTAATGGCCTGTTGAAAAGAAGACTAATCAAAACGCATACTTACATATAATGAAATGTAAAGAATACAAATATCATAATACACAGTTGGATGAGAAATAAAATGAGAACCTAGAATAATAAAAACAATCAGAGGAAAAGAAACAGAATGTCGAAAAAAAAGGATGCTAATTTTCCATACCTTTATGTAGAAGCGTTTACGATCTTCACTAATGAATAGAAAGTTGTCTGATAAGTATTCAAAGCTGAGGCTTACTTTCTTCTTGCACGTTCTCCTAGTTCCACATTCTCTGAATGCCGGTCGAATGTTTTGTTGATTGGCTCTGGAACAAAGAGATGAAAATATAAAAACCATAGAACTTCAATATAGATTACTTCACAAATCGACATCACAGTTACAGAATTATTGGAAGGTAAGTGGCACTATTGGCCAGCTGCTTCCTCCTTGTTTAGCGCTTGTTATCAGTATACATCCATAACCCTACCAGGGGCAGAATCAAGGGACATATGCTTACGAAGCCAGTCCGTTGACTATTCAGCGTCAGATTCACTGGTGAGTTCTAACTTATGTCAATTCTTGACAAAACTGTGTCGCGAACTAACGTCATCAATGAGCATCCGTTTCACCTTCGTGTGATAAAATTCAGCTGAGGATCACATACATATGGGAGCAGATTTATAGCTGATGAATTACAACGGTTTAATGTTTTATAGCTGGTTTGCCGACTGCCAGAGATCGTTATTATTTATCCTTTCTAGTTGATTTGACTATCCTATCTTCATTTCAGTTGTTCGATTTTCGTCACAAACCGATATCACTTCAAGAGAGACAATTGAAAACCGAGGACCACTGGACAGTTCTTTCATCCTGATACTTGTAATTCACCAGCGGTGTACACTCATGACTGCGACAGGGATCGAGTCCTGGGCCTTCAGGTAATGAGACCAAGCCCGCTGACCATTCGGCTACTTGAGCTGGAATCCAGTCACTCCTGGACTCTAATTTTGTCAACTAGTAACACAACGCTGCCTTCGTGAATGCGTTCAATGAGCATCCACTCTAGCTTAACATGGTGTACCCCAATAATCACTCCTTTACACTTCAGGTTCAAGAAATCCATCGAGTAACAATCAGGGATCTGACTGATATTGGTTCTTGACGAAAATCTATCAGCTGGAATGAATTCAAAATCCCCACAGATCCTCCTATTAGAATATCCAGTCTTCACTTTCGAGGCAGTGAAGATGGCAGGGGTGGATGAAAGTCTAGAGCAGTCTGTTGGAAATGGCTTCTACGACTCACGCACCACGTCTTTGAATTTTTTTTTGATTTACAGCTTGATTCCACACTGTATTTTCGGTACAAGTATGGAATTTTCAGCATGGATATCGGTAGCCCAAATTTTGCAGGCCAACCATAGATATCAGATGTGCGTCGGTGCGGGCTCGAACCCCGGACCATGTGCATGGTCGGCGAGAGTCCTAACCACTGTGCCACCGACGCACAACGCATAATAGAGAAGCACTGACTGACTTGACAGTAGTAATGAAACGAAATTCGGATCTCGTTCCCTGTACTAACTGTCATGTGTGGGTGGTCTCCACAACGAGCTTAGAGCAGTGTACATCTGTCTTGTTCTCCTCAACCGATTCTCACTGACTGACTCTGAAATCTTCATGTTAGACGCTTGTAGTCTGAAACAATGTTGCCCAGCTGAGTGACCGAGACGATTCACTTCATATTTGTTTCATTGAGAAGTTACAAATGAAGACAGCTTCAAATTTGTTGTCTTTTTATCCTTAAATCAGTTTTTGTTCAAATTCTCCTTATCGTCTGCTATGACATACGTAAACAAAAAAATCTCCATCAATATTTAAAGGCAACAGAGATACTTTGATCCAGATATTGTGACAGATTCACATTCGTACATCCAAGCTTCTTGTGGTAGTTCACTCGTGCCTCGTAAATCCGAAGAATGTCAGCGAATACAAAATTTTAATCTGCGCCTGTCACTTAGTATCCATATTCTAATACTCAGCATTGTTTATGGATGATTAAGCATACAGAAATAGGCTAAATTTTCTGCATATGTAAACTGAATTGTAAAAACTACCAGTTTACAAAAAAGAAACGCAAGACAGTAAGTAGATCTACTAACCACCCTTTCGGCTTTTTCAAACGCAATACTCTGTCCCTTTAGTTCTTAATAGAGACGTCAACCAATTCGATTTCTATGAAACTGAGTTTTCAAGCGTACAACTTCACTCAAAACTTAAGCACTTCACTTTGTCTCACTTCACAAAGTACACACAAAGGTAGAGAAGAACTGAAAAGGTATACGAGTTATAATGAACGGAAATGCATAGGAGGGGTAATAAGCACACTAGAGAATTATGAAAGAACAGGCACCATTAGTTCTGAGTGTCTCGACTGCCTCAACCAATCAGCCACACTGGCGCAAACCAACTCACTCAAAGACTTCATAGAATGACATCAGGTTTAAATTTTACCAACTGCACCGAGCAACCAACCAACCAACAACAACAACAACAGCAACATCCAGCGCCAATCACCATCAACGGAAAGGACTTGAAAGACGTCACTCCATTCACTCGCTTATCTAGGGAGCATTGTCTCAACTACAGACAGTCGGAACGGACGAGGATGTCAAATCGCGTGAGAATCGGGGAGGGGGGCGAGAAACACATTCATCAACCTGACACCAATCTGGAAATCCTCTTCACTCACCATCAACAACAAAATTCACCCGGATTTTCAATACAAACGTCAAGTCAGTCAGCTCTTCTATGCGGATGAGAAACTTGGCGGGCGGGTCACAAAGAATATTTCCAACAGCCTGTTGCAGACTTTACCTTTATCAACAACCAACTGTCTTCGCTGGCTCTATACTGAAGACCAGATGACCGGGTCGGAAAGAATCACCAACAAGAAACTATGGAAATAAAAAACAAAACAAAAACCAATCGCCAACCAACAAATATGCAGGAGAAAGTGGATTGAGATGGATTGGACACTCGCTCGCTGAGGAGGCCGCCGCTGGGTGGCATTGCGCGCGTCAGGCCATCACTCGAGTGGGACCCGAAAGGCGGGAAGAAGAGTGGGACGTCAATGCAAGGGTGACATAGCGGAGATTGTGTGAATAAGAGATGAAACAGTATGAACTAACATGGATGCAGGTGAAAAGTACAGCAGAAGACAGAAGCAGGCAAATGAAGACGTGCAGTTGAAGCCCTATGTTCCACCAGGAACCCAAGGGAACAATAATAATAATAAACTGCACCGAACTGTTTTCCAAAGCAATCTTAAATTAGCTGGCACGACTAGGCGAGAAATGCGCGATGGCTTGGCATGCATAGCACGTATACAAATAGTAGGATTGGATAGGATAGGATAAAAAACGCTACAAAGTAGAGCATAGAATTCACTTACCTGACAGACTGGTCAGCACTTCCATTGTACTGTCGAGTGTAACGTTTACAAAATATAGAATCAAAAAGAATCCGACTAGTCTTCTTAAATATATTTATCAGATTTTAAGTCATGCGAAAAGCTTGAACTTTGAACGTTTTATTTTTGGTGCTGAGCTATTTTTTCTTTTTCGTTGTTTCAGATATGGTTTAAATTTAATTCACTCACACAAACATACACATGTGAAACAGTTAAACGAAATACAAAAGTCCATAATTACTAGAACTAATAAAACTTTGTAACATTACAAAAATATTTTAAAAAAATTAACACTACTTTTGTGATCAAATTTTATTTGAATTGTTGAGTAAAATAACAGAAAAGATTTTGTGTTCAGTGAATAATAAGGAAGGCCATAGATCAAACTATTGTAAGTTTAATATTGATCTAGTGTAAGTCGGCAACTGTAATCATTCGTTTACCAGCTAATCTCCATTTCTTGATGCTTCGTTGAATGTGCCTACTGGCAGTAGAATGCATATGATACGTGTGTTACGTCCCATCCGGGACTGGTTAGATGGATGTACCTGAGTTCCTAGTGAGACACTAACCCAGTGTGTGTCGTTGCAAATGTCATAGTGTCACATCTAAAAGGCTACTGAGGCACGAGAGCCACAACTCGCACAGTATTATTATTCCTTTTTGGATTCCTAGCACATTTCCATTTAGCCCTGTCTTTTGAATTCTTCTTTTTTAACTGGCTTTACGATAGCCCATAGGCTTTCATTCCCTCCACCTCTTACAGTCTCCTCCATGTCATCCACAAACGTATGCCCAAAGCATCGTCTCCCATTCCGGTTCTACTAGAGGATCCGCCTGTTGCATCACACTGTTCAGTGGTCTTCTCACTGTATATCCAGTCCATCTCCACCTTCTTCGACACATTTTAGGCATTAGGTTCTTGATTGGTTCGTTGCCCGAATTCCTTCTTACCAGTCCTTTCTGGCAGGCTATTTGATATTCAGCATCGAGTCGGCGAAGACAGCTGTTGAAAATAGTTTTTTGAAGCCTGTTCAAAATGCTTCTTGTAATGCCTCAAGTCTCTAAGGCGTACAGAAGCACTCATCTGACATTGCTGCTGAAAATTGGCATCTTATTCCTTATTCTGAGTGCAGCAGATTTTCGTAATGATTTAGGATTGATAAAGGTGTGTCTTATCTTATCTGACTAAACAACTTGGAATGACTGTGAGGTCAGCTACATAGGTCAAGCCAGTAGATCGGAGTTAGTTAGATTGTCAGATCATAAAAATTTAGCCAATTGTAGAATGATCGACCCTGAGAAGATATTTAATTTAGGAAGAAATAATTAACTGGACTGAATGCATTAACATGCAACCATACATATTATTGATACAATACCATACAATAGGGTGAGATGGAGTTGCCATTCTAAAAGAGTAAAATAGATGCATGAAGAGAAAGCTTGATTAAATGATCTTATTTCATCGAATTTACACTCACCAATACCAGAGAAATGGAAAATGTTACTACCAATTGAATCAAAATATAAGAAATAATGTAATCATATAAACGAAGTTGGAAAATTGTGTGAGTAGTCTTGATATGATTATGAGCAGTAATAAATTGTGCTCGAAACGCGGTCACATAACACTGTGAAACTTCGTCAAAATAAATTTTCCCAATAATCGGACTATAATCTACCGCAGTGCCCAAGTTCTCTTCGTATACTGAAGAAGCCATCTGTTGATAAATGTCTGTAGCAGCCCGTTGGAGATGCCTACGCTAACAGTGCACCAAGCTCCTGAACCATTTGGAAGAACTGACTGACATGACGTTAGTGCTAAGCAAAATTCGAATCTTGCTCCTTGTTCTAAACGTATCAGGTCTCCACACTGGCTTCTTTCCTGATTCTTATCCTAGCTAGCCATAACACCCTTGTTCGTGCTACCATGGATAGTTGATGCCATGCAGACATGTAAAAGAAACTGCTCCCAACTGATTTCTCCCATTATAATGATAGTGATTGATGTTTTTTGTTGGTATTTTGGTGAACACTTTTGTCTTTCGTAGGTCACCTGAAGTCTTATCTTCACTGATTATTCCACTAACTCGTCAGTTTTCATATGTAAACCTCTGAAGTTACCTACCAATCATACGGATAAGTAGTTTATACCATAGTTAAAATTATGATCAAATTTTCTAGGTTACTTATAAGTAGCCGAATGCAAATCTGTTTAATTTCCAAGCAGCCATTATTGATAAATAACACTGAGAGTTCAGTTATCTTTCTTTGCGTCAAAAACTGAACAAGGTCAGAACTCATTTTTTCCTTTAGGCCAAATTATTATGAAAGTAATCGTTAATCTTCTAGCTATTTGACAACACTAACAAAATTGTCATGTATGCTTGTTTCACTTATCAGATACTTTTCAGTGTTATTACCTTCCATCTCTCAGCATTGCTTCTTCATGGACTTCTGAGGTGAGATGTAAATTATCGTAACAGTTGTTGGCAGGGGGAAACCAGTTCGAATGGTGGACAAATGCTGGCCGATGATATTTTCTGAATGTGGCACTACAGTTTGTTGATTGGCAAAGATTATCATTCATAGGCTTACCCGTGGATTCAGTCTCAGTGAATGGAAAGTCATTAGGATCAATCTTTGTAACCTGAAGGTCTAAGTGATTCCGTTTTCTAGCCACAGATAAAGTTATAGGGGTGAATAAGAACAAAACTGACCTGTGCGTAAAAGAGGTACCTTCGGCCTTAATTTTTGCCATAGCCTTCAGTAAGGTAATCAGGAACATAATTATCCCATATTTTGACGTATTATGTTCTACACCTTAGCTATCTTTTGTCTGACCTTTCCTTTGTTTTCCAATTTGTTTACTACATAAAATCACTAATATTATAACTAATCACCCATCGGATTTCCACTAGGCTTATCTTGTCTCCGTTGTTTGAATATACTTCACATCATGACAACTATATATCATATCATTATATATGCTATCCCTCGAGCTTACATTTAACGTTATTTATTAATTTATTTAAACTCAGAAAAAACTTGGTATAATATTGCATCAAGAAAGATGCGCCACACAATGATAGTAAAACAACATAGATCAAAAATGAAAAAATATATATATAGGTAGAGAACGGATAAAGAACTTCATCTGTAAGGAAAACAGTCATGCTTAACAAGTTCAAACAGTATTCGTTAACTATCATCGGGAAGGGAAGAAAGAAAGAAATTGCAACACGCTCGCCATTGATTACGATTCTTGGCCATATCCGATAACGTTTCGAGCCCTCGATTCGAGCTATCTCGCGGACTCCAACCATGGAGTCGTGACGCACCAACCGATGCTAATCTGGCACAAACATCCTTCATCCCACGACGCCACGTCATGGACTGACCACCTCTCCGCCTTTTCCATCCCGTCCCAGTGTGGTGAGAGCAGGCTGCTAGCCGATTGGTTGACACTAAGCTACGTTAATATGGGCCGTGAGAAATTTGAACAAGGCTGATTCAACAACCGATCACAGCAAAGTTAACGTGGCAAAATATGATTCGCAGATAGAGAACTCTATTTGTCAAGGAATCCCGAAACAACCAATCAGAAGCCTGCGTTTGTCTGCCTAACTTCTGATAAACAACCAATCAGATGACTGCGCTTGTCTATAATAATGTATGTGAAATATGTATAAATACGTGTTGATTTTCATAATAAAACGATCTGTTGCCTGACCCTTGTCTTCTGTTGTTACATCAGGGCTAGCAAACAGTGACCTGTGTGGAAGCCTCTGGGATGACATTCACAGCACATGTCCAAGTCACCGGAGCCGGTGTTTCCAGATGACGACACTCAATGAATGGTGATCTCCACTGTGTTCAAACACACGCCGCCGAACCTCAGAATTATTCGCACGATGACGCCATCGAACGCAAGCAATCCTGCGGAGACAGCGATGATCGAACACGCAGAGCCACTGCACATCCCCAGCTCAGAGAGGCCAGATTTCACGGGCGTAGAGCAAGATAGTCCCCACCGAAGCAATGTATACCCGACCTTTGACAGCCAGGCTAACGTCGCGACAGCACCAGAGGTGGCTCAAGTTGATGCATGCCACCCTAGCCTTCATTATACGGTTGAAAATCCCATCCATCACCCCTCCGCCAGTACTCGCACAACTACCCAGATACACAAACTTATCAACAACTTCAAGCGCTTCACCCGCAAGAGTGAGTGCAGGTACAGGCTCCTGCCAATCTTGTAACAGTACTTTGCACTTCTACCGAGCAAAGCACATACCATACTTACAGACACTGATCGCCAACTGATTAAGTGCGATTTGAGCAGCCTGCATGCTATCGCACAGTAAGACGATATCGTCTGCACACTCGAGGCCGAAACGTCTATCTCCAGGTAGCACATTCAGCGTATCCCATTCATTTGCTTACATTTTTGTAGTGCTCATATATTTCTCATGCCCATGAATATAACTCGCACACTAAAATTCATATTTTTGTTGATTAAAAATATACAGGCGAGTCACTTAATTGTTTAACTCACACTTTATTTTATGTTCTTAATAACTGACAATCTTAAGCAACGGACTGTTATCCCATCTTGCACTTGTAACCTAACACGATTTCTGATATGTTTTTTATGTACCTTTACTGGCTATTGTATATCAGCATGAATGAATTTATTGAAACTGCAATTATTAGCTGTAATTTTTGGTGTTCTGAATTATATTATGCAGATACTTGACTTACTGATTTAAGAATACGTAGAGTGACTGTGACCTGATTCTTAAAATGACAGCAACAACAACACTCAGAGAGAAGCTAAGTGTTTAAGTTAGTCCGACTGCAGCACTGGTTGACATGAGTTCGAATCCGCAAGAGTATATCATTCCAATTAGTAGTGTTCTCTAAGCTGATTGGTTTAGTTGCGGAACTTTCGTCGTTCTTCTGGACAACATCTTCAATGCGATTCTTAGCAATAAGTGGACT